ATATTATTGTTTATACCCCACAAGCCTCCACCCAGCCTACCCCACTCCTATAACGATCCCTCCCTTTCACTTTTGCATTGAATATTCTCTTAAATGCACTAATGATCTTTGCTTCAACTACAGCCTTCGGCAGCAAATTCCACATTGTCACCACCCTCTGTGTAAAGAATGCCCTCCTAAAGTTTCTGTTAGACCTGATTGTGGTCGTTATATTCATGTCCCCTTGCTATGGACTCTGGAACAAGTGGAGCAATCTATGTATGTTTACCTTAATGAACCCCTTTCATGACGTTAACCACCTCTATCAGATTTTCTCTCAATGATTTCATCGCCAGGATAAAAATCCCTAACCTGTCCATTTTCTGTAAGTTTGCAACAGCAAATGTTGAAAAAAAAATCACAACAGTAATTTGGACAGAAACCTCTTACCATAAATGGATGCACAATCTTTTCTTTAAAATAAAAAATAAATTGTTTGAAATTGTGAAATGCCCAGAGTACATGGAAATTGTTAAAGCAAAGTGAAATAATAGGCAGCAGCATGTAGAGGTAGGTGTCAGATTACATTGCTGATGGTTACACCCTACTAGTGTGTGACTGAAACCAGCCCAAGTTAAAATTGTTCACTAATAGGAAGCAGATAGCCACTAATTCCAAAATCAATCTTTACTGTTAACAGGAGACCATGATACTCTGGAGCTCAGCTAACCCACATCTGTGCATTATTGATTAATCATCTTTATCTACAGATTTCTGTACCAGCAATTCTATTTTTAAAAATATATATTTTTAGCACACACCTCCAGGCACACCACACAAAATGAATGCACTCAGCATTACCCTTTAAAGAGGTAAGATACGATTAGTACTTTGAGTTTAACATATTGCTCCCAGCAAGGGTGTGGATACAGACTCATGGCCCCATTGACATTATAGATCGGCTCCGAGTAGACTTGCTCTTGTGAAATTCTGAGTTCCTGGTGCTATGAAACTCACTCCCATGAACATTATGATGCACATCTCACACAATCGTAACAAAGGACTATAACAACTGGATCTTTCCCAATCACCAGGGAGGGCAAAGTACAGAACAATCACCAGAACTGTGAAAAAAGAAATGTGGTTGTGAAATTCGGTTGTCCCTCTTACGCCGAGGAAGAACATTTTAGTAAACCAGTCACTGACTTGCAATTTGTTTGATGAGCCAGGATAAGAGCAGCTTTACCTGCAAAGCAAATCGTACTAGAACTAACTTGTGTGTATGCGTGTTGGTGACAAAAGAATGCCAAAAGTAGAAAAATGGCTACTCCTACATCAACTACAGTCACTTTGATCAGAGGGATCAAAGTACCAAGTACTGTGTGCAACCCAATGCCTAATGTTCCATAACATTTAAAAAACAGAATTGGGAGTGATGACATTACTCTAATATCTAGGACCACTTCAGAATAATTGAACTCTAAAAGTTTTTTTTAAAAATATAGTTTTCAGAATGTAAGTATTTTAGGTTCTTTTGATCCCAGCCCTACAAGGTTTCCAAAAAACCCTAAAGTAAATAGTCTCCTATTATTGCAATGATGACTTTCTTGATCATTTGCCTTTGGCAATGTTTTCTATCTAAAAGGGATCTGTAACAGTCATTTGATGGAAATGCATGTAGCATTGATGATCTGCTTTGGTCACAGTGTGACTGGGATGACAAGGACACTTTATATTCCCATCTCTGGAGAGGGATGTGAGACCCATGGTAAATATTATGATTATGAACTTCAAACAGATAGCTTAGTGAACACAGACCAGGCATAGCAATAGATAGTGCCAACATGTCCCATTAAGCCACCAGTATGTCTTGCTTTTGTTTTTCAACATTAGTCATGTCAAACAGCTTTACCATACAAGCTCCTCGGTATTCTCTCTAGATACTGAAAAGACATTTTATTGAGTTGTTCCATCCCTTTCAACCACACTGCGGCCTGTAATTTCACTCTCCTACTCACGTTGTTGGCTAACATTTTAATAATAATCCTTGTATTTGATTTGGAGCTAATATGCAATTATAAGATAGTCACACATGGGTCCCTCAAGGGAGAGAATGTGCATTACATTCCAACAATAATAATAATAATAATCCTTGCATTTGATATAGCGCTTTTCACGTCGGGAGGACGTCCCAAAGCGCTTCACAGAAGACACTGTAAAGTGAATTGACTATATTTGTGGGCGAACGCGGCAGCCAATTGCGCACAGCAATGTCCCACAAACAGTCGTAGATTGAAAATGACCAATTTTAATTATTGTTTTTGGTTTTTGGAGGGATTATTATTAGGCTCTGTGTGGAGTAAGGAAACTTGCCCAAGGTTTCGCCCTGCCTGGAATTGAACTCAGGTCTCTCACTTGCAAAGCGAGTGCTCTAACCACTGAGCTACAGGACTCCACTCTGGAATTTCTATGTGTAGGTGGGACGCATGGAATTCTCAGTTTAGTTACTCTAAAGCATGTTGATGAGTTTCCGCATGTGTCAGAGGACCACGGGCTTCAAGTTGGCTATCCCCGATCTAGAGTCAAAGTCGTGATATGGAATTTGAATCTACGATAACAATAATCCTTGCATTTGATATGGTGCCTTATCATGACCTTGAGACATCTCAAAACGCTTCACAGAAAGTGAATTGACTGTGTATTTTGTGGGCAAAACGCAGCAGCGTTTTTGAACAATCTTTTGAACCAGAACTATGTGTACCAACAGCTGAATCAAACAGCCATCATCTAGTTTTTTTAAAATAAGTATGGGAAACTAAACGTTGAGCCTATAGTAGACACTGAGGGTCTGTTTCGCCTGATAGGAGAATCTATAACCAGGGGTCACAGTCTTAAAATTAAGGGTCAGCCTTTTAGAACAGAGTTGAGGAAACATTTCTACACTCAGAGGATAGTGAATTTATGGAATTCACTATCCCAGAAGGCTGTAGATACTCAGTCCTTGAACATCTTCAAGGCTGAGACTGATAGATTTTTTAAAAATAGAGGGATTAAGGGATAGGGCAGTAATTAGAGTTAGGTCTGAAGATCAGCCATGATCTTATCGAATGGTGGGGCAGGCTCGAGGGGCCGAATGGCCTACTCCTGCTCCTAATTCTTATGTTCTTACGTTCTAAATAATGGTGATTTCACTATTACAGTGAAATTGCGTTAATCGAATACTCAATTTGGCAACAAAAAATATTCCATAAACCAAACTATTCCATGTACGATATTCAATTAATCAAATTTCACTGTATTGCCATCTAATTATGCTGAACAGGTTCTGCAAGTGTCAGTTCCCAATATGTTGAAACAATATTTTATTCTGGTATTCATTGTTCCTCTATTTCTGTAACATTATTATAATCTTAAAAAGTTTTTGGTTAAAGCACTTGCTTTACTCATTGAGCAGCTCACCCATCTGGTGCAAAAAGTTGTTCCAACAATGAGTACTCTTAGTCCCCTCCCACCTGTTGAAAAATCCATTCACATAAAGATGGCCCACACCTACAAATACCTAGTTTGTTTGCAACTAGTTTGGCTCCCAGCCAGACTACGAACAACAAGATTCAAATGACTAAAATGAGGCTCTGTTTCCAAGAGCCAAGGGCAATAGATGTGGTTTAAAGTAGATCTCGACATGCTTCTCAAGGATGTAGACAAAAGGCGTAAATCGGTTAAAAGGATAGGGTGGTTTGAAGGTCTCAGTGCAGCTCCTTTAATCAGGCCATAATGCCCCATCTTTAACAAAAACAGAAGTCGCTGGGAACACTCAGCAGGTCAGGCAGCATCTATGGAGAAAGGAAGTCAGTTCTGATGAAGGGTTGTGGGCCTGAAATGTTGACTCGCTTTCCTTTCTCCATAGATGCTGCCTGACCTGCTGAGTGTTCCCAGCGACTTCTGTTTTTGTTTCAGATTTCCAGCATCTGCAGTGTTATGTGTTTTGCCCCATCTTCAATATTGTTTTTCCTTCTACTAGGAGCCCCAGTTATCCATTGCCCAAATGGCCATTACTCATATACAAGTTAACAAGAGTGTTGGAAGGCTATTCGTGCAGTAAGGATTTACAATTGAGCAAAACCCTGCCTCAACTAAACCTCCAAAACAGTCACACAACCCTTGTGAGTGGGAATTTAGAGATCAACTCACAGCACAGAACAGCAATTGAAGCAGCATCCATTCTGGTGTTTGTAGCTCAGCTCTTTCGAGTTTATTGACTGAGACATTACCAGAGCCACTGTGGCCTAAATCTACTGGAATTTGTTTTACATATATATATATATTTATATATAAAATTGAGAACTGAATATAACTTCAACTTTATTCTTTTGCAATGCAGCACATTAGACAAACTGAAATCTGATTCATCTATGAAGCCGGCATCGACCTAGTCAAAGGCCCTTACACATCAGAATACACATCACTGCAGGATACTTACAGTTCTGGTGCATACAGTGAGAAACTTGACCCAACTCACCTAGCTAAAGCCCACCTTTAAACTTATAAAATTCTGCAGAGTGGTTCTCCACAAGCACATCTCTTGAAGCACAGTGGCAGTTCGATCCTAGAATCAAATTTTTTTCTAGCTGAAACTCATTTGAAAAAAAATCTGAAGCTGGCCTCCAGCCACCTATGTTCATCAATAAAAACAATGCAGATGCACAAATAGCCGTGGTGCCAGAAACCCTGACAACCTACTGTTGTTGCCACCACTTGTTCTATAAGAGAACAAACCATTTTCCCACATTTTCAAATGTATCTCAGCCAAAAAGCAATGGGTCAAGGGGCAGTGTAAACTTTATGCTAAATTAACTGCAGTTTTGCTTCGGTTGCTCATCCCCACAATGTAGGGCAGAAACAAATGTTCAATTCTTTTTAAATAAACGAGTCTGTCACAAACAAGTCAAGAGGAGACACCGAGCATCCAGTCTACAACAGTCTAACCGTTCTTCTCTCAATCAAGCTATCAGAATACAAACCCATTTACAATAGACTAAAAACAGCACGAGTCAGGCATCGGCAATTTTGAGTCGTAGTTTCAAACTTTGTCAGGCTAATAGTTCAACTTTTCCTCTGCATTCTGTTCATTTCTTCCAGTCGATGACTCACATATCACTGTGCCTTGGAATGTCCGCCCGGTGTGAAAGGCACTATATAAATGCAAATGTGCATTGTTGGATTGAACATCTGCCAAAGTAACAGAAAGTGAAAATACCAAACTTTCTTCAATCTAAACTGCCATGTGATCAAGCTACAAAGAAAGGGGCTGTTCCACTGCTATTTCCGCTAAATGAGGGTCTCGCCCTTGTGCAGAATGCTCCCTCCTGTGGGCATAACCAGAACACGGAATCTCATCTCACTGAGTTGTGAAAGAAATACAGAGGGCAATATGCAGAGCTCACCGGCACGTCAGACACCAAATGCAAGCATTGGCAGTTACTAATTGGAGTTCCTGTTAATGTCCTGTGTAAATATAAAGTTCTCTGCTACCTTGCCTAAATTGTCAATCTTACACGCGACCTTAGATCGGAAAAAAACAAAAGGCAAAAAGCTGCAGATGCTGGAAATCTGGAACAAAAAAAAACAGAAGTCGCTGGGAACACTCAGCAGGTCAGGCAGCATCTATGGAGATACCCAGATCAGAAAAACACGGCCAATCTAACGTGAATCTTACCTAGAGCTGATTGGAACTCTCTCTGCACATCATTATTGGGTCACAAACTGTTTCTAATACACTACAACACAGATAATTTTAACAATTTACTTTTACGGTTCACAAGACTGTACAGGAGGTTTCAATCTGGCATTGTAATGGTCTCAGGACTTTTTTGGTCACCTTGTAAAAGGATTTCTTTTCACAAGTGCACCCTACACTACACTTTTATAGCTGTACATTTTTTTCTTCTTACCCTGGTTGCTCTCTAGATTACAGAAAGGGCTTTGAACCGAGTGAAACTTCCTTCTAAACTTTTATCCCCCCACCCTCCAAGTCAAGCAGTGAGATCAAAAGAAACCCAATATATTCCAGGATTATAATTAATAAAGAAGTTAAGACTCCTCTCCCCCACCCCCTTGACTTTCTCTCTCAATCTCTATCTCTCTCTCTTTCTCTATCTCTTGATCTCTCTCTCTCTTTCTCTCTATCTCCCTTTTCTCTTTCTCTCTTTCTCACCCCCCATCCACTCAGACTCTGCTTTTACTTCTACCTTCTCTCTGCGGCAGAATCTGTCTCACTTCCAGTCGACTCTTTAATTACTGTTGGGTTCGTACTGTAGCCGGTGCCTGTCAGCCTTTGTTACAGCTGAAACCACCCCCTTAACCCCATCCCCAACCCAGGAAGAAGCTGAAAGCCATTCATTCCTGAGCCGAGGGAGTTAGCGCTGGAACCCAAACTCAGTTACAAAAAACACACAACTCAACAGAGAACAAAAGCGAGGACTCACTCACTCACATACTCACTCACTCGCATAACTCACTCACTCACTTATTACTTACTCACTCACTTATTACTTACTCACTCACTCACTCACTCATTTACTCACTCACTTACTCCGGTCAAACTCAACAGTTGGCTTCCTCCCCGACAAGTTGGCCTCCAAGTTAAAGTGTTACAGATGATGGATTAGCCCAGCCCTAAAATCAGCTGACAGAGCGACAGCCCCTGGAGCCCAAAGGCAAGGGGGAGCCGGTGAGTTTGGATGGAGCGATGAGATCAGCAGGAGGCTGTGATGGAGATGGGGATCTCAACGTTCACTTGTTAACGATAAGCTGTAAAGGACAAAGTAATAATGATAATAATAATCCTTGCATTTGATATAGCGCTTTTCACATCTTCTCGACGTCTCAAAGCGCTTCACAGAATATACTGTAAAGTGAATTGACTGTATATTTGTGGGCGAAACACGACAACCAATTGCGCACAGCAGTGTCCCACAAACAGTCGTGGATTGAAAATCACCAATTTATTATTGTTTTTGTTTTGAAATAGCGCCTTATTGTGTTGTTGAGACGTCAGTTGAGGTCAAATGTTGAGGGTGACTGGAGTAAGTGAGTGAATGAGTAAGTAAGTAAATGAGTGAGTGAGTGAGTGAGTAAATGAGTGAGTGAGTAAGTAGGGGCTGTAATGTGTTGCAAAGGGCGACTTCATTCCCAAGTGTGGTGGACAAGTTTCCTCTGAATCTATATATAAATTGTCACTTACGTTTGTATGGTCAGCATCGAAGATCCTGTTTCCTTTGCGACTTGTGTTTCCCCTTTACACTGTCTTCTTTGTTCCCAGCAGTTTGAAAGTCGAGCCTGCTTTAGTATACATTCATTCCTCTCGAATCAGATGGTAATCTCTGCACGTGATTCCACTAATCTCAATCGGATATGATTTTCATTGGGTTTAATCTTGAATCAAGCTTCGCCTGGTTTAAACAAAACTCTTCACAAAACTATTCATCCCAGATAGTACACGACTCCCTTGTGCCAAATCAGGATGGCAACAAAAAAATTATGAAGGCCAATTTTGTTTTGGAACAAAGGCAAATAGTTTGGGATTTTCCAAATTCTATTCAATAAATCGAAGGATTCAATTATTCCATATTCAATCGATTGGATTTCACAGTAGTGCCTAATCCACAAGTGGAGTCCTGTAGCTCAGAGGTTAGAGCGCTCACCTTGCAAGCGAGACACCTGGGTTCGATTCCTGGCAGGGCAAAACCTTGGGCAAGTTTCCTTACTTCACGCACCTGATAATAATCTCAAGAAAAAAAACAATAATAAATTGGTCACTTCAATCCACGACTGTTTGTGGGATACTGCCGTACGCAATCAGCTGCCGTGTTTCATCCACAAATATAGTCAATTCACTTTACAGTGAAGCACTTTGAGACGTCGAGAAGACGTGAAAAGCGCTATATCAAATGCAAGGATTATTAAACCCATAAACGTTCACTTCACCCGTTGTCTGTATTAACAAAACCCAGTGCATTCCTACCCAAATGTTATTTATTCATTTTAATAATTCTTGCATTTGATAGAACATCTATAATGTTGAGAAGGTCTCAGAGGGCTTCAGTTTTTCTTTAAATTGTAGTGACTATATATGTAGTCATTGTAACAGTCTGCAACTTCCCACAAATGACCATGAAGTGAATAATCCATTTTCTTTTTAAATCTGGAGATTGTTGGACGGGACACCAGGAGATACTCTCTTCTCTTTTCAAATAGTGTCAACAGATTCTTTAACATTCACTTGTACAGGCAGATGGGACTTTAGTTTTAATATCTCAAGGACAGCTCCCTAGACAACGTTGCAAGCCCCCATCGCTGCACTGGAATGCCCGTCTAGCCTAAGGTCAGAGTATGACATTGGGCTTGAACACAAAAGGGTCAGTCCTTGGTCACAGCAGTGCTTTTGACTTTTATTTTGAAAAAAAACAAAGAGCATCCAGTTTGTGTAGCCCATATACACATTAAATCAACCAGTTGGTGTACTGAATCAACCAAAAGGGATCAGATTCTTGTTGGAAGTAGATATTGGGCAGAAAATATACTTCGGTGGCCAACCATAAAGTTTGGCGACCACTGTTGTAACACAATCGTACACATCAGAATCTGGCACGTTATCAATTCCAATAGTTATACTGTAATAATAATCCTTGCATTTGATATAGCGCTTTTCACGTCGGGAGGACGTCTCAAAGCGCTTCACCACACACACTGTAAAGTGAATTGACTGTATATTTGTGGGCGAACGCGGCAGCCAATTACGCACAGCAATGTCCCACAAACAGTCGTAGATTGAAAATGACCAATTTATTATTGTTTTTTTTGGAGGGATTATTATTAGGCTCTGTGTGGAGTAAGGAAACTTGCCCAAGGGTTCGCCCTCTGCCTGGAATTGAACTCAGGTCTCTCACTTGCAAAGCGAGTGCTCTAACCACTGAGCTGCAGGAATTATAATGAAAGCAATTGTGTGCTACCGCACCTTTGGATGAGTCAGAAAGCTGGTACTGCCCTAAATTACAATCTTTTGTGCCACATCTACATCTTCACTCGAAACAAATTCAACCCAAAACAGATTTTATCAACCCTGACATAGTGTCTTGGTAAAATCTCGGGAGTCCCAGGATAGCAATCTTGCACAGAGATCCTGTAATCTTTTCTCCTGTCTTATTTGGGGCAAGAGTACTGGTGAGGTAAAATAAAACCTTCCATTTGTTACTATCTTTCACGGCAGGACACAAAGTGTTTCAACGGATTTACTGTAACGATTCTGTATTTGTAGGCTAATGTATTTGTAAATCCCCGAAGCGAACAGACTAAGGTTTGAACGTGGGTTTTTCCTGGTGTGTCCAGCTCATCAACAGAATAAACTCAGCCCTAGAGGAGTGTCTTATTCTTATGCTAGTTTAAAAACATGTTAGGTGGTAGCCTGGCTTAGTTGGCAGCACTCTTGCCTGAGCTTCTGCTGGTGTCATGGCCAACTAAACTCTCAACTAAAAATCATTATCCATTTCATGACTGTTTATGGAAAATTTCTATATCCAAACTGTTTGGTGGGGTCAATAATCCGACACCCTAAATAAATCCTGTATTTTGAGGTGTTTCAACCATGTGATAAGGCGCTATCACCTGCAAGGATTATTATACCTATAGTAATTCCACTAAGCAATAGTTCATGAAGTTTGTGCTGGAGCAGATTCCAGGTTTATACATCGAGCCTCTATTTGGGAACAACAGTCATGAAGGCATACATAAACCGATCACCATTTGTTAAGGACATTTCCTTAAAAACTCATACTGCAGCAGAATTCACCTGAGAAATCAAACAATGCAACAGAGAACTCACTGCCCTGTTGCTCTTTAACTTATTCAGTTGTACAATTTCATCCATTGTTTTAAAGGGAGTTGTCTTTTTATTGACTTATTTAAGTGGAACCAATTTTATTTGTATGTGAAGGATGCCTTTAAATCAATAGATGAAGACAATCCCCCAAGGTCATAATGTGCAGCTACTGTCCTTTGACCAGTTACTTTCCCATGTAAGGCAGGACAAAATATATTTAACATGGATTGCTTAAGAAGATTCAAGACTAGGACTTGAGAAGAAATGTCATGAGATAGGACAAGTCAGGAATATTTAATTGCAGAAGTATTAGGCTGCAGACAAAGCTTTCCAATGTTGCAAGATTTCACTGTAGATCATGCATTGAATTGATGCTGTCAATTGTGTTGTGTATAATCTAATTGGCCTGAAGAAGAATTAATGTACATGAATCCAATACATGCCATTTAACCAAGGTCAAAATGTATTTTCTGTGATGTAAACTGCCTGAAGTGCGCAGCTGTCAACCTGGAAAAAGGCAACTCTTAAACTGCCAAAGCTCTTTAAAAAAAGTTAAACATTGATACAGTAGTATCTTAAAGCCTATAAAGTTGTTTTATGCAGCACTTGGAAACGTGCTACACAAAATAATATGAGCATTTACTATTAGTTATGAAATTGTTAATTGCAATTCGCAGAGACCAGCAATCAGATGAAGTCAAGTGGCCCGCATTTGAATCTTACCCATAAGTTTTGTGAAACTTTAATAAAATTTTGAAATGTTTACGCAATTTGTACATTAAAAGTAGGAAGCAGAGAAAAACAAGGTACAAGTACTGAACACGGACATCAAGCATGCCAGCGGAACAAGGGTTTACCACACCCAATAGTTCTTTCAATTGCATCTCACATTCAAACAAAAATTGTTTTGAAGTGTGATATCCTGGCTTGTGGTTCCCCACTCCTACAAGAAGGATGCTGCTTCAGTTAAGTCTCTACCTAAAAATAGCTTGTATTAAATTAAAAACAAAGTTTAATTTATTATGTCAATTTATCGAATACTATGATGGAGCATGCTGGGTTGATTTGTTGTCATCTTTTTCTTTTTTGCTGGGTCCACAGCAAAACACTTCCAGACACGTAGAGTTTCATCAGCAGCAGCTGAACATACTGTGGTACCATCTGGACTCAGGGCTAGGTCCAGCACTCGAGCTTGATGACCTGCACAACATAAGAGTAACAGGATTAATTTGTGGCATTGATGAGTGAGGGCAAAAAGGACATTCAAGAGACATTCTAGATTCATTGGAGCTTTTTTTTCTTTTAAAATGATGCACAAGAGAAGTTCTCAGATGTTAAATAGATCTCATAAGCCTGCTTTCACACATTTTGAGAGTCTTTGCTATGCATAAATTAGCTGCTGCATACATTTCAAAGTACATGGGCAATAGAGCTTCTGATATCCTGTAAAGTTGTGTGCAACTGTGTAATACGATTGGAGATATCCCACGAAGAGCACTTATATCAAAGGCTGTAGGATTGAATTTAGAGCAATTACAACATGCCAGATATTAACTATCAAGTCCATTGGTACATACATTATTTATGGCCTAGGTGGTTACAAATAGTCATGTGATTTTTGAGCAAGTGGGTAGATTTTTGAACTAATGCTTACCCAAATTTAAAGAGTATCCAGTGGAATACCCAGAGTTTGACTCTTGCCAATTTGTGCGTATTCTACAGGTTGGCAAGTCAAGGCTTGGAGACCCCAGTGTGCATTGGGTACTGCAGGAATTTAACCAGCTCACACCGCATTGCTTAGCATTGAGAGTATTGTCTGGAGAGCTTCGCACAGCTTGTCCAGCTCAAACTACCCTACCAGTTAGGACCTTGGTTTACAAGGTTAATGCAGAGCTGAGTGAGAAGAATCCAAGCTCCTAATGACTGCTTTGCCCTTCCAAGTCTTGCTGATGAGCATGGCTAGCTGGTTGCAAATAGTCACACTATCTGGCTGGTAACCGACTAGAGACAGCCACTGAGGATTGAACCTTTATTTTCCCTTCTCACCCACAGGCAAGAGGACTACCAAAAGAGCAAACCTTATGTTGTACAAGCATTTCAAAGCACTTCACAGGATTTACTGTAATTAGTGACTATATTTACAGAGAAACATGCAGCTAATTTTCACACAAATGTCCCACAAATAGCCAGGAGTGAACTATTGTTTTATTTGGGAGAATTATTGATCAGAAAACACAAGGAAATTATTTTTTTCAACAATGCAATCTTTAACATTGACCTAAACAGGCAGACAAGAATTTGTTTCAATACCTCAGCAACACAGGTTATATGAAATATGTACCTTTCAGTTCAGCTACTTTGGTTAAGGTGGGGTACTTCCACATTACCAGTTGATTCTGTGAATATCCATGACCTGATACCAGTTCTTTATATTCAGTTGACCAAACTATGGAACAAACCTACAAAATATAATACTGTGAAACTACAGGAAAATGAAAACAATGACCACTTTCAAGTATCAAGTGATATTAACCACATACACATATTTGAAATGCAGTTTGGAAAGATGCAGTGCACACCAGCCTCTAGTCTCACCAATTAATCGCTGGCAGTCAAGCAATGAAAACCGTCAAATACAAAAGGGCAAATACTCAAACCTGCAAAGCCACATTAGCTTGGAATTCACGGACTACAAACAGTTAAGCCCATTGCAGAACATTCAAATCTCGAACCACGTGTACAAAGACAGCTCTTTGGAAGTGATTGCTGTAAACAGATAGCAATGCTGCCCGTTACCAGCATCAGACCTATGGGTGTCCTGTCCAAATTAAAGTTGTAAGGCTTTGCTACTCTTTGCTGACCCAAACAATATACATTAACTATAGATTGACAGCACCAACATCTGTGCTAGCAATGAAGCACAAGACCTGGATAACAATTGACATGCTTCAAAGACTGTGCCTATTGATATGTATGGTGTTCATACAGAACATAGCAACAGTAATTTATGCCACTGAACTTGCTTGGAACTGCAGCAATCATTTAGCTTAGCATCCAAGCTCCCACTAACCCCCTAAATAAAGATCATGTCCATGAAATAGACCAATCTCAATGACCAGCATGAATCTTTTTTTAAAAAGCTGTCCTAGATACTAGTCTCGAGTTTCTCCCCCTCCCCATAACACATCAATACTGTACGCTCCCATATCAATAGCATCAATCTTTAGAGCAAACCTGTGATCGTGTGTCCACCGCATTCAAACAGGATCCAGTATTGACATTCCAAAGGCGAATGAACCGGTCACTTGTACCACCACCACTCGCTAGGATATTCGCCTGCCAAGGGCACCAGGCAACTGCCTAACAGACAAGATAGAAAATAAAGTAGTCTGAATAATACAATAATAATCCTTGCATTTATTTGAGGCAGAATAGTGCCAGAAAGACACACACACGAAAAATTATCAGTGGGGATTCCCTAGCCGCCATTCATTCTCCCTCCCCACCCCGCATTCCCCAGTTCCTAGCAGAAGCAAATAAGTATTCCAATTCTGATTTTAGAAGCGTAATGGCTTTAGAAAACTAGCTCATTCTAGTTAGGTCTATATTTGGTATAAGCTGAAACCTAATCAAACCTTTACACTTTCACCCCTTTAGTCAGTACAAGACACTTACCTTAACAGCACCCTGATGCTGTGTGAATGTGTGCAACGGTGCACACTCTGTATCATTCCCAGGGACACTGGGCCAGATATTTAGAATGTTGTCATTGCCACCACTCGCAAGGTATCTGCCATCAGGTGACCATTTCAAACCACAGACCTCTTGGGTATGCCCAGCTAGAGTGGCCACATGGTGTTGTGCTATACGGACATCGTGATGATGAATTTGACCCAATCTGGAGCCACTGAAATAAACAAAATTAAAGAGAAATTAAGGTCACTCAGCATTCCATTTCTCAAGGCAGAATAGTTCAATTTCTGTAACTTTTTAATATTTCCTCTTACCAGACTGATGGGGTTTCTTACCTAGAAAGAATATAACTGTTCCAATTGAGGGCTCCTACTCGTGCAGTTTGACTCACCATGTTCCTCAGACGTTTCTGATTTTCAACATCCCAAACCTGAAACAGTAAATATATACTTTGGGAGCAATGTTTACTTCATAGCCAAATACTATTAGATAGCTACAATCTGGATACAGAAATAACAATTCCCACAGAAACGCTTGCTGACTTGTACACCATACTGAAGAATTGTGGGAATTCAATATCTGGTACACCATTAGGCCTGAAACACAATGAATGTATTTAGTGCCACTGATGACCACCACTACTAGACTTCTACCATTACATTGAAAGAATAAGAGGTTACCCATACTATTCTTAGCCGTTTTGTCAGAGCAACCCAGAGATATGATGTAAAACCAGCTAAATCCACACATATTCGGCTAGCTTGCAACTCTTTCTGTAATCAGAACCAGAGTAAACAGCTTGATTTCTACGTTAGTAAATGTAGTCAAATTAGATCATAAAAATCACAAGACATTGCATACCCACCTGGACCTCCCCAATCATTGTTCCAACTGCCAAGTAGTTTCCCTCCTTTATCCAGGATACAGAAGAGATGTAGTCCTCTGGATTTTCCAATTGTACAAGTGGAACGATGTTTCCTGATTCACCGTGCCAAAGGTATACATTGTTCCCAAGTGCCACAGCCAGATAATTCAGTGTACTCCAATCAATTAGATTCAAGTCTTTTTTTTAAAAAGTATATAAAATAAGAAAAGAGGTGGGAGAGGAGAGGGAGAAAACAAAACGTTTATGTATCAAGCCACCAAAATTAACCAATGAACTCCCGAGAATCAACTGTTCATATTTAGATTTTGGAAATTATAATAATAAATAATAATCCTCGCATTTGATGTAGCATTTCACATCCGCTAGATGTCTCAAAGCGCATTCAATTATATTATAAAGTGAATTGACTGTATATTTTGTGGGCGAAACTCGGCAGCCAATTGCGCACAGCAGTGTCCCACAAACAGTCGTGGATTGAGTGACCAATTTATTATTGTCTTTTTTTCTTGAAGGATTATTATCAGGCATGTGGAGTAAGAAAACTGATGCAAGGCTTCGCCCTGCCGGGAATTGAACCCAGGTCTCTCGCTTGGGAGGCGAGTGCTCTAACCACAGGAATCCCATTCCTTATAAACTAACAAATGGAGTTAATAATCGTAATCCTTGCATGTATTTAGTGAGTGAGGTAAGATATTATAGCAGTGTGAATAACTGAGTAGGGTTCAGAAGACGAAAAAGGAGATAATTTAAACCATTTGTACTGCGGATTCATGCAAAGTTGGAGAAAAATTACATTTTGTTCAGTCCCAGATAAGCTAAAACTCTTTGAAAATTTGTCTCAGAATTAGTAGAACATCAATTCCAAGATATTTTCTCTTCACCTCCCCCACTTCTACAAAAAAAGAATTTGAACTTCATCTTTTTGTCCTATTGTGGAACTACAGGACTCTCCTGTACCCTGCTAAATATTTCTTGTGCAATTCTGAAATACAGCATCATGTTATCCAACACTAAAGAACAAGTTTGAATAAACCGTACAACTTACAATAATCATTTCGGATCTCAGGAGCATCCAAGATTCGTTCTGGCATGGAGGGGATGTACCGACTGATCTTCTTGGTGGAACTTGGAGTCTTTTGACTGTACAAAACTTTGAGATTATTCTGATAACCTAGAGAACAACCAAAGACTGAAACCACAGGACATGGCTTGAGGGCTCCCTACCCAAAGCATATAACCGAAGATGATAAATCCACAGGACAGAAGGGTTCATGAACAAAAAGCAAAATAGCGATGTTTCTACTTAAAAAAACCTTCTGCACTGCTTGTTTACCAAATGAACTTTTGGGCAAGTGTAGCCCACAGCAACAGGCCCTATATGCCCCCCCACCCTCCCCCCAAATCACATTATCTACTGTATATACAAGCCTCAATCAACTATTTACACAATGATTCTTCACCTATTCATGCAAAAAAGACTTGGTTAAATATCTGAAGACATTTCACGATCATCCCAACATGCAAATAGGACCTTAGCTTAAAATCTTATCCGAAATTTGGCATCTCTTAACAATGAGGCACACTCCAAGCACTGCATTGGTTTGTCATCCTGCACCCTTTGTGGGGGCTGAACCCACAACCTTCTGACTTTAAGGCAAGCATGCTACTGATTGAGCCAGGCAGACACATTGCCAGAAAAAGAAGCTGGAAGATGAATATCTTTCATTAATAATGGTACCCAACTTAACAGCCCAAGCATATAATAATAATAATCCTTGCATTTGATATAGCGCTTCTCAGGTCGGGAGGACGTCCCAAAGCGCTTCACAGAACACATTGTAAAGTGATTTGACTGTATATTTGTGGGCGAACGCGGCAGCCAATTGTGCACAGCAATGTCCCACAACCAGTCGCAGATTGAAAATGACCAATTTATTATTGTTTTGGGTTTTGGAGGGATTATTATTAGGCGTGTGGAGTAAGGAAACTTGCCCAAGGTTTCGCTCTGCCTGGAATTGAACTCAGGTCTCTCGCTTGCAAAGCGAGTGCACCACTGAGCTACAGGACTCCACATAATCATTGATCAAGGAACCAAATTGAATATTTCTGCTCATTGCACAACCATTAGGAATAACCATTGTTCTGCTATAACAAGAAGCAGTTGATTCAGATTATATAGATTAGATAATTTCAAAACCTACTTTAAGAGACCATCAAAGCAAAATACCTTCTGGTGCATGAAGGGGTTTCCCACTCAAGCGCAGAATCTTTGCCTGGTCAATATCATAACCATTCAAGTTTAATGACCAGGCCTTTTGCTGCTCCTGAAAAAGGAATGTTGAACAATTTATTGAAACATAAGATGCAATTCAGCCCATTACACTAAACAATTAAAGCACATGCTTATAAAAATCAGGACCTTTTCTTTTATTATCTTGCCTAGACTATCAATGTTAAAGATAGAAAACATGAGGAAAATTAACTTTTACAATTCCCTGGGGTACCTACAAAGTAACCCAGAGGAATGCCTTAACACTTACTTTTTTGGTTGGAGATTCGTTTTCTTGATCTTTGTTGATTAAGAAATGTGCTACATCCATTTGTGCTGCATTACGGGTTGGAATATAACGGTCACCTCCTACCTTGGAGGGTGTTATCTGGACCCTGGAACATTTAGATGATTTAGGAGTTTTCGTTTTCCCTGCAAGGAAAAAGAAAGGCTTGAAATGAGATAGGCGGGCGAGCCTTCAGTCACTCTACCCCCACCATCTGGAACGCCACCCCGCAGTTCCTCCACCTCACCCCCTCCCTTGCCTCCTTCAAGACCCGCCTCTTCAACTGTGCCTTCAATCCCCCTCCTTCTCCCCACTGTCCTCCACCCTCCCCGATCCCCAGCTCGGGTCCGAAACACTGATTGTCCAGGGCCTTGCGACATCCTCCCAACATGAAAGGCGTTATACAAATGTAATTTTGTTGTGGTTGTATCCCTCCACTTTGCCTTCTCCTTGCCCACCTTCCGGTCGTGGCTGAAGACCTTCCTCTTCGATCGCGCCTACGATCACTTCCCACGCTGGGACGCTACCCCGAGCGAGGGGCATCATATAAATGCAAATCATTTTAGTTTATTGATGCAGGGGCATTCTTTCCATTTACCTGGTGTTTTACTGGGCGTCAATGTCTTTGATGCATTCAATGATCTGTTGGTAGTTTTCATTGGAGAAAGACCACTGGTATTAGCTGACGCCAGAGACCCAGCAACTCCACTGTTCTCCTTCGCTTTCCGCTGCCACCTGGCGAGTGGTCCATTCGTTATGGGAGCATCCAGTTTCAGAAGACTATTGACGTCGTTCTCAAAGACAAACTGGGCCATGATGCTCACACTTCCCTTGGGTTAGAGAGAAAGAGAGAGAGAGAGCGACGGACAGACAGACAGACAGGAAAAAAAAATGAAGCACAGATCAGAACCCGAAGCAGCAAACGTATATTTCGCCCCCAAATCTACGGTCAATTCTCTTTACAGTCAATTCCGCGAAGCGTCCCGTGACGCCGGCCCGGGAAGACGTGAAAAGCGCTACCACCAAATGCGAGGATTATTATTATTATCGTTACTATTCTAAAAAAACACGCCACACATTTGAGACGTGACTTGACGTGGCGCTGTTACGTTTTTCTCAACTTAAAAGAGGACAGAAAGTAAACCCACGGTGGGGGAGGGAGGGAGGGTGGGGGGTGGGGAATACACACGAGGATGAGATGGATCCGTTCGAACAAATAAACCCACAATAATAATAATAATAATATAATAATAATAATCCTTGCAATTGATATAGCCATACACCCCTTCCGCTTCACCCCACAACAAAAGAGGCGTCTAAAGATGATTGCAGAAGTACTCCCGGACTCGGGCCTCCCTCCAAACGGGGGGTGGGGTGGGGGGGGAAAGGGGGGGTGGGGGGGGAAAGGGGGGGTGGGGGGGAAGGGGTAGAGAGTTCAAAGCCAACCCCACACCGCAACTTCGAAGGAACGACTTTTTCCGAACCGAACTACGAGCGAGAGAAAAAAAAACGAAATTAAAAATTCTTACGCGGCCACACACGGTAACCGGTTAACGTCCGCTCCCAACGCCTCAGCGACCGTCCCGGCGGCACTTCCGGCCGAGCCGCTCGCAACGGCTTCAGAATTTTCAAATTCAAACCTCCGGCTGAACGGCCGCCGCCATTGGCCCCGTCCGAAGGCCCCAAGCGCGCGCCCGATTGGGCCCAGCCGGCGCCGGCGCGCCGCGCGGCTCTCCGATTGGCCGGCGGCGGCTCCAACGGCCGTCGGTGCCCCGCCCCCAACCCCTCCTCCCACCCCCCCCCACCACCGACGTAGACGCCGGAAATGACGCGGCGCCTTGGCCCAGGGCGGTCGGTAGATGGCGATGGGCTCTGTGAGTGCGTTGTTGTTGTTGTTGTTGTTGTGGCTGCGGTGGCGGCGGTCAGTTCCCACGTCGCCAATAATGTTAATAATAATAATAATAATAATAATCCTTGCGTCTGATGACAGCGCCTCATCACGTCTTCGAGGCGGCCTCAAAAGGCGCTACACGGGATAGGTACCCCGTGAAAAAAAAGGGCAGCGACTGCGCGACGCGGCGTCCCCTCCGCCCCCCTCCCCCCCCCCCCCCCACACACACACACACACACAGCCGTGGATTGGGCGGCCGATTTATGACTTATTTTTGAAGGGATTATTAACCCCCCCCCCACTCCCAGCGGAAAACAGCGATCCGCCAATCGCCCAACTTACTGCTAAGTTACCGCTGGGTACACTGAGGCGTTTACGTCCATCCTGTGTATTGTGAACTTGTCTTGTCCGGAGGAGGCGGCGGTGGGGCGGGGCGGGGGGGTGGGGCGGGGTGGGGGGGTACAAGACCCACGCCGTAAATGGCTGCAGAACCCCGAGGCGGGGGAAGCCTCGGTCGCTCCACCAAAGTGGAGTGCGCAGAGGCAACCGCCGACGCCACGAGGGGCACTCTCTGTCGGGTTCCGCGACAGGAGAGTTGATGAGTTGCGTTTCTCTTTCTGTTACGGGAATTGTTTCCGTGAGGCGACTTTGCAAATGTATGTTCCATCAATACGTACATATACATTTGTTTCTTTGAAAAAAAATCTGTTCAGTCCCCCTGTATCCCTTCAAGCCTTCATGGGCCCATTTACATCTCTCTTGAAAGCCACAATGGACTGAAAGGTGCGGAAATGAAACATCAATTCACTTTACAGTGTGTTCTGTGAAGCGCTTTGGGACGTCCTCCCGATGTGAAAAGCGCTATATCAAATGCAAGGATTATTATTATTATTATTATTATAAAGGTGTTGCCTTTTGCCAATGTGTTTCTCACCATTTTTGGATCAACAGATTTTAAGGTGCTCATTGTTACCTTCAAATGCCACCGTGGTCTTGCCCACAAAATATACAGTCAATTCACTTTCCAGTATATTCTGTGAAGCGCTTTTAGACATCTCGAAGATGTGACGAGGCGCTATATCAAATGCAAGGACTATTATTATTAATCTCCCTCTGCGATCCTCAATGTTCATCCAAATCTAGTGCCCCTCTTTGCCCATCTTGAGAAAAACATTAGCACTCCAAGACAGTTTAATACCGTTTTTTAAAGACAATGTCCACTTTCTCCAATACAATACAATTTACGTTTATACAGTGCATTTCACCTTGGGAGGACGTCTCAAAGCTCTTGGCAATGCTGGATTGGCCCCGAGCTGGGGATGGGAGCCAGGGAGTGGGGTCGGGAGGGAAAGGTGCAGTCGGGAGATTTTGCAGTCACAGAAGATGGCCTCAAGCAGAAATTCAAAGTGAACAAGCAATCTCCTGGCCACTCTCTCCACTCCATCAACTCTAACCTGCTTAATGCCCTCCGCCCACTTCAGAATTTTTCCTTCAGTGTTTCAAGTTCACTATGAATAATATTGTGAAATTCACACTGTTGAACATTTTCAGTATTCAAAAGTAGCATCATGATCTGATTGTTATACTCTGCAAACTCATAATGCTACAATCCACAATGCTCCATATATGGGAACACAAACTCTATTTTACCTTAGTTTATCAGTAAGTGTAGTTAAACTCCGGAATTCAGTTGCTGCTCATTTACAGAGCCGTCAGAAATACCTCAGATCAGACCGAAAGAAATGTGCTGTGGAAGATCATGAGATGCAGCTGTTTTGACTTGCAGGGTTTGGCAGGCAGACACTTTATTGTGGGGCTTTGTTGAAACATTATGCAGGAGACAGGTGCATTATGTGGATGAATGTCCAGCTCATCTCAAATGTCGGTTAGAGGAGCGTTGTCACAGAGATGTTAACATAAACAGTATCTTGTCTTTATGAATGCAGGAATATGTGATGGCAAGCAGCTCATAATACTCACTCTGTATTCAGGTGAAGGGCCTGCCTTTCCCTGGAGGTGAATAACTGGTCTTCAGTGTGTGATGACAAGTGTCTAATTATGCATTCTTTGCTGTGTGATAGTCAGGGCTTGCTACTGTCCTGTCATTGCACTCCAAATCCTATAACTGAACTGCATACCGTGTTCATCCAGTTCCGTCTAGTAGTAAAAAATAAATAATACTTATATTTGATACAATGCCTTATCACATTGTTGAAACATCTCAAAGCACTTCACATGATCTATTGAAAAGTGTAGTATCTGTGTAGCTAATCCACGTATAGTAATTGAAAATTGTAATCAGCAAATGGTTTGACTTGACAAGAATGATAGTAAGAAATCTATTACCTATGAGTGACCTACCCTGTGTAATGGTGAGCAACCCACTATACAAGGTCTGCACTTGTCTCGTGTCAACTGGCCTAGAATAGAAGAAAACAAATGGAAATGGGCCGTGATTCATTCCTGTTTCTAACGTGTATCTCAAATGTAGAAGAGTGCTGAATATTTCAGCGCAGGAGAGTTGGAGTGGTTGTAATATGATCTTTCACAATTGACCAGTGTGTGGTGACGTAGCAGATTGTTGAACACTGAGAGGAGGAAGCAAGTTGCGTTGATTGAGTCAAGCAAGCTCAAGAACGGTCAACAAAACAAACCCAAGATGATGGGTTTACCCACCCAAGATGATGCATTTCTTCAAAACGTCGGTTTCATTGTTACTTTATTCAATTATTTAAGCAGGGGAGCTCAGAGCAGCACAATACAGAGCTCCGGGACAGGACACTTTAAATGCATTAGAATCAATCCAAGCTTTAACAAAGTATAAATGCAGAACGGTATTTAATTGGTTAATGCCACATATAATTGAGTCTATTAGAATGCCTTAAATAAATATCATAAGAGAAGGAAAGTAACAAATTGAAATTCTATTGATTGTAATTCAAACAAGTCATTTATATAACCGTGTTATAAAATAATATTTCAGCAGTTGAAGTATTGCAGAATCAACTGTATCAGTTTATGAGAGAAATATGATGTGTAATCATTTTAGGGTGGAGAATTCATGAATTCTTCAAAGATTGAATGGTATTTCTAGATTCTCTGCCAGCCATCCTTTGGGTCTCCGAGTGAGATGACAATTTAGTATCAACTTGTGATGAATTTTGTGTAGTTTTGTGATGTGAGGTACGCCCACTAAAACCATGGTTGAGAGTTCCCAAACATGTTTCATATGCGATCCACTCAGCAGAGAGAACATTTTGGGTCATCAGTCTAAGATCACTGCATCGTCCTCCGCATTCCCACAGTTTTAAAAATATCCAATTTGCCACTTCTTAGAAATCAAATGGAGACAATTTGATCGAATTGGAGATGATTTGATCATTTAAATTCCGCTCCATTTCAGGTTTCCTCCAGTCAGCCTCTCCACTGATGTCAACAACAACGCTGCTCAGTGAAAGCTACACAGGAAATGCTTTAGCATTCAATCCCAAACTTCACCCAAGTCATCAAAGTGGAAGTATTATAGCAAGTGTATCCATATGTTCTACTGAGATCTATGTTGTGTTACATGTACACAAACAGAAGAATGTAGTATAAACAAACCTGACTGACTCGCTTTATTTAATGGCGTATCATCGTTGGAGTCATTCATATATGTTGCACATATGCCACACCACTGTGGTGATTTATTCTTCAGTTGATGAAAAATATTAAGAAGTCACTACTTTTTTTAAAAAAATCTTTCCACACCGAGGGAGGAGAAGCTAAGCTAAGCATTCCAAGTAAAAAAATAAAAATTAAGGTTCATAACCCTTTTCAATCACCCAAATCAGTAAATCAGTAATTTTGGTGATTTGTTTGCTGTCGCAGTGCGCGATGCTTGTATGATGCTTGTATTATTACTTTCGACTTTTCCGGATGCTTTTTTTATTCTTTGGCCAATGAGCTCCGTAATGAGAAAATACCTGGTTTGAAGTCTGAAGCCATGAGATATGAATGGTTTGAAATGTCCATTGCACTCATTGATCGATAATCAACCGACACCGGGAAACGGAAATGACCAAAGAAAGTGAACATATCATCATAACAGACCAGTGGTGTTAGGGATTGTTGTTTGGTGCCGATGGAATTGATTGATTGCACTGAGAAGGGGGGCGGTTTGATCCAGTGAATGTCCTTTTGGATGGTTTTGTTCTGATTCTTAGAGTTAGGGTTGTGCAGCCACTGCAGAGACTGAGATTCCTGGAAAGAACTGGATTTGTCTTTCTTATCAAAATCAATATCTTCCTGAAGAAAAGGCAATGAACCTTGCAGATCCAAAAGAATATAATTCTGACTGGAGTTGCTGGAACTCTTAGTTTCGCCGTGTAGCGTCCCGTCAGTCACTGATGCTCGATGTTGCCGGATAATGGAGGATGCACTGAGGTGGTCAGTCTGACAAACCTCCTCTTGCTTTTCCACACATCTTGCACTATTCCTTCCCTTTCGTTCTGAAATAATTTCCAGAACCGAAGGGAGTAGCTCATCATCGGCATGCTTGTCACAAGCGGGCTGCAAGCAGAAAAGTGAGATAAGATTTGTTTTGTAATTTTATTTATTCTCCATATTTTCCTTACTATTTTTCACCCATGCTGTTAGGGTAAACTTCCAAAAGGGTGATGGCTTTTAAGTACCTCACCCATTCGTTAGGTAGCTTTAGAGAGGATTAGTTAACAGTGTAAGCAGTTTGGTTAGAAACACCAATTAAGTAATTGTTGTAAATATATGAAGGTTATTAGAATATCACAACAACATATTTATATAGTGCCTTTTACATGGGGCAATATCTTGTTAAATGGTAAGTATACATTGTATGGTTGTAAAGAGATTGTCTTGTTATCTTAAAACAGAATCTCTTTGGCTTGGTTTTGTGGGCCTTTTGTGTGAGAGGATTAATAGATGCTAAGAGTGGGTTCCCCACCAGGGGTCAAAAATCTTTACTTTGTCAACCTGGTTTTCTCGAAACTGAAACAGTTTTGAAGGGGAGCATTTCGTAAAGCTCACTGTCAACGTATGGTTTGTGAGGAAGAGGTACTCAGCGCAGTTTCACCACCTTGCTGCATGTTGCTACATGTTGTACAATGTTTATTTAAGCTCTATTTTAAATGTAGGATTCTGAAACATTACGCGAGTTGTCTGTCCTTCTTTTACATCTGCCCTGTCCCTTTTGCAAGCAAGAACTGCAAGTTCAAGGAATGATCTCGTCTTCCCTGCAGTGGAAAGCACTGTAGTTACTTCTTGCTGACAAATGGATTGTAGATTCAGCTGCTATGCTTCAGTTCGTTTCTCATAAACTCATAAGAGGAGATTATGCCCCACTCTGCAAATACCATAAAGATGGACTTTATTCACACTTATTATTCAGTATTAGTAAATATCACTGACTTGGGGATATTTCTGAAAATCACTGAGATATCCTTCCAGCAGCCTATCCAGGTTTGGAATCTGTGGCCATAGTTTTTTCTTCACATTACTGGAAAGGAAAGATAAATGGAAACTAAAGAGACAGTAATTATATCAGTAAATTCACAACATTTACACCTCTGCCTTCCTTTTGTTGAATATCCCTTGGTACCAAATGTAGTTGGATAGCAGAAATTCTTTAAATAACTAAACCTTGAGGACCAATTATCCTCTGAATAAACAACATTCTCTGATAACTATTTGCTCCACCATGAATTCACTGTACTGTCCAGCTCTGCTATAATGTGTACAGTCCCATTGATTTATATCTGGTTGTATGTTGTAGTTTGTAGTTGTAGAGTCCCACTCTTTTGTCCAGTTATGAGCTGATCTGACTAGCAGTGTATGTTATGTGGAGACACAGATATATTTAGCAGTATTATACAAATATACACTGACCTATCTAGTTGGGCAGTGATACACGGATCTACTCTGCTGTTTTGTAATTGTGTAGTGATGTAGTGATCTCTCAAACATTGTGATTTAACACCCAATCTAATTATTCAGTTATTTATTGTAGTAGGTAATGACACATTAATCTCTACAGTTGTGCCCTGTATTGTTTTCTGTTCTACTGATCATAGAGTCATAGAATCGTACAGCACAAAAAGAGACCATTCGGCCCATCGAGTCTGTGCCGGCTCTTTGAAAAGAGCAGTGTAATGTCAATTCCACTCTCCAGCCTTTTCCCCATAACCCTGCAGACACATCCTCCTCAAATACCCATCCACCATGCTTTTAAAAGTTGTTTTTAAAAGATGCAGTGAACAGAAAGAGATAGGGCCTTCTAGGTCTGTGTAGTGTAGTGTGGAGCACTAAATTGATTTTCTTGGAATTTACGTGTACTGGTACCTGTAGGCGTTTGGAAAGATGAGACGTGGCATAATTAGTGCTATCACCAGCAGAAGTACAGATCCAGTAATAAGGGCCACAGTAGTCACACCTGGTCAGATAAGGATTTGGAATAAAATGCCTTTGAATTAATTACTAAAATACATCAGAATAATGCTGTAGAAACCAAACCTCAACGCTGCGGATGTCAAACATTTATATTTCAAACTGCGCAGCTGTTTGGATTAGAATTTTCAGATTAAAATAAATGTTTAGCAAGAGGTTAGCAAAAGTAATTGACATTTTAGCAACAATAATCACAAAAGGAAAAATTAGCCTCGAACATTTATAAGGTTCACACTTACCCATAGGGCCTGGAATTGTTGCTGTGAAAGTATCTGACCAGCTGCTCCAAAAGCCTTTGTACTTAATTCCATTTGGTTTGGTTCTGAGCTGCATGTAATAGGTTTTACTGTGGGGAAGGTCAAGCATCTCACTTTGCAATTGCTTCTGGATAAGTAGAGTCTAGACAGGAATAACAGAATGTTCCAAACAAAAGTACAGCTGAGTCTTTAATTTCCCTGTTTTCACTGAACCTCAGACTGTTGCTGAGTGATTGGGATGAAATTAAACCCTGTTATTCTCTTCTGTGCTTTCAACTTTTAGAAATACGGTAGTTTTCTTAGCATCACCTTTACCCGGTGCTGACGCTGCCATTATCTTAAATAGGTACACCGCTTCACAAGGTCTCAGACCACTGTTTTAACTTGGAACATCTTAAGCATGCGTTCACAGTACTTTAGTTAAGTGCTCAGCTAATGTTCCCTATTCAAAGCTATGTTTCTATATCATTCTTCCTCCAGGAGTAAAGATGCTCTGCAAGCACTCCTATTACTATCATCAATCAGAAAAAGCATGACATTGTTAGATTATTATTATTATTATTATATATCAACCCACATCATCTTCTCATGTGTGACATATTTTTAGTGAAATTAACAATGCTTTTCAGGAAATGGACAAGCAGCCGTTGGACAAATTGCACAGGAAGGTTAGACGCTTTGCCTTTAAAGATGAAAGTCTTCAGTTCTGATCTTTGAAAATAATACAATATAATAATAATAATCCTTGCATTTGGGATAATAATAATAATCCTTGCATTTTGCACGTCTTCTAGATGTCCCAAAGCGCTTCACAGAATATACTGTAAAGTGAATTGACTGTATATTTGTGGGCGAACGCGGCAGCCAATTGCGCAGAGCAGTGTCCCACAAACAGTCGTAGATTGAAAATGACCAATTTATTATTGTTTTGTTTTTTTGGAGGGATTATTATTAGGCGTGTGGAGTAAGGAAAGTTGCCCACATACCTAATATGAAAGAAGGCCCCAATTTCAGGTCATGTGCACATTCAAGTTTATCTATCTCTGGTCTTGCTCGAATGTTTCAAATTCATATTCAAATCCTGTCGTTAATCTTGTGAAAATAGTTTAGCTCCTTGGCTCCAGTTCATCCGATCCTATGTATTTATCACATGCTGCCTCTCTCTGCAATTCAAAACCCACTCACCTTCCAGCTTGTGCCGTTCTGTTCAGAATACCTGATCTGATAAATCATATGACCCAACAGTTTGGTGATTGGTGGCTCCCAAATGAGACGCAGTTTCCCACCAACTGTGCTGACAGTTTTCACAATTCTCGGGGCATCTGGCCGAACTGCGAATTGTTTTAAAAAGTATTTTATAAACTTATTTAACAGTTACAGAAACTGCTTCAGGAAATCATTGTTAGCAAATATTAGCATAAGTGTCAGATTTAATTTATTTACTATACCGCTCAACTATGTGATGGAGACTATGTGTTTTGATTGTGTGCTTATGAGATACTATCATCAGTTTCTCAAAAAAACGCCTACAAAATACAGTCGCTATACTTTACAGTATATAATGTGACGGCTTTGAGATGTCCTCCCAACGTGTATATCAAATTTGTAAAGATTATTGTTAATAATAATTTGGAGCTGTCATTTTTAGCACTGTTTATTTGCCTCAGCCATTATCTCTGAGTGTGGTTATTATAGCTTCAGCCCTCAGCTCCTGTGAACGCTTGTCCTTCGGGGTTTTATAAGCTAAGTTTCTTAAATCCATTTTGTTTGAAAACACAGTTTGAATGCACTTGCTCAGTAAAAATCACGTGCTTCTGTTACATCAAAACCCAAGTGTAGTTATTTTAAATTGAAAAGAAAACCTTGATTAGAAACCAGAAGCATAGACTTTTTTTTTGATATTTGATATATTTCTATTGAAGAATCTAACTCTCTCATTTGTGAATCCATAAGAACTAGGTGTGTTGGGAAGGGTGGTTCCTGCAACTGATATGCAATTAACATGAAGTATCAATCAAAGTGTCCTGGTGATAGTGTGGTCTGTATACATTTGACATCATAGTATCCGAAGGAACTTGGTCTCTCTTACCAACATTATCAGTCCTGAAATGCTCTTCGTAAAATGTCTGTGTGTAATATGGGTTGGATGCATTAACGATGATAGAAGTCTCATTAACGTCAGAGGTCGCAAACGTACAGCGGTAGATGATAGTATAACCAATGGTAGAGTTTCTTTGATTGCCGCAAATCTTCCAAACCAACTCTCTACTAGAAAGGCAAATTGCATGTTAAATTTATTGAAGCAATCATACAGATCACAAAAATGGCTAGATTCCTCCTTGTCAAGCAAAATCATCGATAAAAAATGAGTTTTTAAATAGAGAAAACGGCTTCCATATTAGAATTCAATTTAAGAATTTTCCATAATTCTGTGTAATCTTACATTTTAGCATATAGGCTAAGGCTAGATGGAATTTCAGGCCTCTGATTTTTTTTTGGTAAAGAAAAGTTTCCAGGACTCCAGTCAGGATCAATATCTTCCTGAGATCAATCCTATACATATAGTTCAGTTACCTTGTCTGGTAGTACAGACTATACAGAGTATCAGCCTCAGTTTTGTTCACTTTCCATTGACAGGTTATGCTTTGGAGGTCAGCGGTCGAACAGCGGAGATTTATTTCACCTGAACGGAAGATAAAAGAACTCATTCAATCAGCGAGCAGAAACAGCAGGATTAATGAGAATCCAGAGCATACTCTGTATTTCAATCAGAAAACTTGAAATCAAGGGTCTCCAGACTTAAATAAGAAATGCTAAAGGATTGTATTCCCCGTTTTAAAACATTGTAGTTTTTGAGAGAGAATTTACAAAATTTCCAGGAGGACAAACAGGTTTGGTTGTGTAACACTTACCTGAAGAATAGGGAGTTACAGCTGATACTGTGTCTGACCAGGGACTCCAGAACCCATCAAATGACATACCATCTGGTTTGGTACGCAGACGGATCAAGTACCTAGTTCCAGTATTTAGGTTCTGAAGATTGTGATGCTTTAAGCGGCTGACAGTTTCTTTCTGAAAGAAGAGGTTTGCTGGTTATTCATGTTAAATGCAAGAAAGAAGGGTAGAAAGTACAATGATCTACGAGACTGGAACTGAGATTGATTTTATTATTATTTTAATTTTATTTATTATTTATAAAATGATTTTTCACCAGAAGAAATTGATAATAATAATTCTTGCATTTGATACAGCGCCTTATCACGTCGTTCATTGTTGGCCAGGACAACGGAAGAAATTTCCTTCTCTTACGGAATAGTGCCATGGGATCTTTAATGTCCACCTGAACAGGCAGACAGGACCTCAGTCTAACATCTCATCCGAAGGATAGCATTTCCGACAATGCTCTGCATTGGTGCGTCAGTTTTGACTATGTGATTCCAAGTTCCGAAAAGGAGGGAAGTTAGAAGAAATGTTTTTACACAGAGGGCTGTAGACAATAGAATTCATAACCATGTTTAGATTAAGTCCATGATAGCTTTTAAAGGAATTTGGACAAATACTTGAAGAAAAATAACAATAAAGTGGATTGAGAAGGAGAAGGGCAAATAGAACTAGACTGGATTGCTCCAGAGGAGAAGATAACACCAGCACAGGCACAAGGTGCCTCCTTATGTAATGTAAACCTTCAAAGTGTGGCAGAATGTACTGAGCAAGGCGGGAGGGAGAGCGGGAGTTGACTGCAGGCTCAGTCAAAGAGTTAGGTTTCTAGGCATGATTTACAGATGGAGAGAGAGCGAGTGAGATGGAGGTGTAGAGAATGGAAAGGTGTCATTGCTGAGCACACTCAATCATGGCGAAAGCTACTTACCTTTTCTAAAGCAGAATCAGTCGTGATTATCCAGTAGCTAATTTCATACAAAAGAAATAGCTCTATGTTAGGATTTGTTGGTGCCTCCCAGCAAATCCTGAGCTGGAGTGGATTCCTGTTTAAACGCACTGTGACATTAGAAGGTGGATCCAGGAGAACTGAGTGAAGGAGAAAGAATTAAAGAATTAAACATTACGCTTTAAGAAGTTTTGTTCAAGAAAACTATTGAACACACACAACATATGCGGAACAAGGCACATTACCCTACAATACACAGTACTGTAATTGATCAAGCAATCTCCTCTCTGATGGAAATAGAGTGGTACAGGGAGAAATAGAACCTTTCACCTCTGGGATAGGATCCAAGTCCAGTTCTAGCCAAAAGGTCTTTTCTTTCTAATGAGTGACAAGGTGGTGTAGTGGGTCAGATACGCATTCGTTTCACTTCTGCATCTTGAGATTAACGTCATCCTCATTTTAGCCTGGGGAGATTAGGATCTATCTCTCTCTTATAACAGTATTAGAACCCCAACGCATCTGATGCATTCCTAAAAACTCAAAAAAATGCTTCAGAGCAGGAGAACAGGCCTTCTAAAGGATTTGAGCAGGGATTTTCTCTGAGATCCCTTGTGTCAGCAACAATAATTTCCACCAGGCCTTTCATCCGGGCGAGCCATTGAAAGGAGTTAGTGGCTAGACACAAAGCATTTACCAGCAAAGAGAATGTCAGCACATAATGGTTTCATGCACTTCTAAGAAGAAGTGTGACATTAGACGTGGCTTGATTGCAGCTCATGTCTCATCCCACGTGGTGGGAAAAAACTTTGAAGAGAATTTAAAGAGAGCAAAACCTTTTAAATAGTGACATGAATTGATTTTTTTAAAATACCAATTTTGTGCCAGGCCACAATTTAGCAGCTGACTTATTTTGCCTTTGTATTAATGTCAGTGCAGATCCCAATAGTGCCGCGGATGGAACAGTCTCACTTACCAACCAAATCAACTGATAGGTTCTGCATGAACTTGGGAGTGTCAGAAGACAATTCAGTTACTTCGATTCTGAGTGGCTCAAAGAGTAAGATGTCATCTGTAGGAATAAAACAAGCATGTCGAGTTGTATTCCTTGTAATCATTTGTGAAGTAATTTCACATTGCTTCTGGTCCGTTTGTCTGTGAAGAAAGAAAAGAAACTGTTAAGTTTTAGAGTAATTTCATTTCAAGAATGTTGATATAATTAAATAATTGCGTCTGGCACCTGATGAATAACACAAGCATATCAATGCTTATTTGTGACAATGGGGTACCCCTGATCCCCGATATAATTAGGAATAGAAAATTGGTACACCATAAAAGAATAGGTTTAAAATTAAAAAGTCTCAAAGAGTCCTAGCGATTTGAGTGATCTCCCTCCTTCTCCCTTCTTCCTCAGCACAGAGTAACAAGCATGTAGAATATACTTCTATTAAAAGCAATTGATGCTGACTTGATTGATCTTTCATAAAATAATGGACAAATATATGTTTCAGTCCAACTAATTCCACGTTGTTTAAACTATACATGAATCTCCACCCTTGCTAAACCCAGCTGCCATATTCCTCTATTATTATTATTATTATTATTATTATTCCCTTTTCCCTCATTTATGTTCTCTCGTGCATTGGAGGAAATACGCTGTAATGTTGACGTACTCAAAAGAGTATAAGAAGATGTAAGTAGAATTTGACTCCTCACTGTCATCCCAGAAGCATGTCAGATCCTCCAAAGTGCGAGTATAACATTTTGGATCTTCAGCGTCTGACATCGAAAATGCAATGTCTGTAAAATGCAGAAAACACATTAATCACTCATCTAATTCATAGCAACTTGAAAGTTACTCAGCTCGCCCAGTTGCATTGATGAGATCCCATCTGACGCAGACACATGGCAGAGATTTCATCAAACTCAAACATAGCTCGCAAATCTCCACAAAGTCAAAGACATCCAAATCGATTCCAACTTACTTCAGACACATCGAGAAAAAATTCTAACAATAATATAAACAATTTGGTAAAGCTTACCAGTGTGTATAGTTTGAAATTATTCAAGGCAAATCATTTTCTAATTGCAGGTATCAGATACATTAGAGCTAACAGTCTTAATGTACATCTTTAGTACCTGAACTCAAGAAAACCAATTACTATGGAGTTCAGGGTCTTGTGTCCTCAAATATTTCCCACATTTTGTATCTCAGCTTACCTTTTGTAGGAAAGATGGCATTCTCTAAAGCTGGTAAAGAGACCGTCGTGACAACACTTAAGTGTACACAAACTACAAACAGGAGTTGCATTGCAGTGCAACCCATTCCTCTCAGCCACACTGAAGTTGATCCTGACTCTCTGCTGCTGCTGTTAGGCTCGAGTCAGAAACAGACAGTTTCCAAACTGAAATGGGAACAGGCATATCCTCAGGAAATTTACAGACTTGTGAACCGGGTCCACAGCACAGAGTGGGCCCCCTACCCTCACCAAGCTACAGCAGGCTTTCATCTGTTGGAGCTGATGCTGATCACCGAACAGTGACACAGTGTTCAAAAAGTCTGAAATCATTGCTCTGCCAGGCATAAGAAAGTGGTCAGATAAGCATTCCAGTATTTCAGGACAGGAATTTGCTTTATCTGTTAGTGACAGGTTCCTGTTCTGGGCTTTTCACCCGCTCAATGTTCTTAAAATTCGGGAAAAAGTTGTTCCCAATGCTACAGAGAATTAAAAACACTTGTTTACATGAATTTACTTAACATACGCAATTATTGTACTGTAGTTTTGTGATAGAAAAGTCAGATTTACTCTGTTTGGGTATTCGAATACAAGTACTGTAGACGTAAGCCAAAATTTAATTGTGCACAATTGGCTGCTGAGTTTTGCCCACAAAATATATAGTCAATTCACTTTACAGTGTATTCTGTGAAGCGCTTTGAGACGTCTTGAAGACATGATAAGGTGCTATATCAAATGCAGGGATTATTATTTAATATTATATGAGTGTGTGGATTATGGGAAATTGCATGTACATAATATGTAGTCGTGCAGGCTGCCACATTCGGTGATAAATTTTGCTTACATATGAATCATTATACTGAGGCATTGCAAAAGTGTAAAGTCAATATAATGTGTGCTGCGTACTGTTTTCTCATGCACATGGAACATTTATTGTTTGGATCCATTTTCAATGTCGGCAATATATTTAATGTAATTATACTGCCGGCAATTAAGTGACTTCAAGCAGGTACAAATTACATTTTCCTGAACCCACCAATTTGCCATATTTAAGACCTTATGTGTATCTGCTGTACATGTGACATTCAAATCACTGCCCTAATCATTGTTATTCGCCTGCCAAAGACACAGTAAAATGGAACAAAAAAACACTTCACACACTCGTTGCCATTTTCTCCATGAAGTTAATGGCTAACAGAAAACAGTAATAAAGTCCGAATGAACAATAACAAATTACATTTGTGTAGCATCTTTCGCATCGGGAGGATGTTCCAAAACATTGGACCAAGTTTTAAGTGCATGGAAATGTATTTGAGGCAATTAATAAAAACATCTTGTAATGTATAGCGAAGCTACAAATTACAGATAATTTACAGGAGAGAGCTTTATTTCTCCATATATTTCTGGAGTAGTATTTCCTTCTCTTTGTGTATGTAGTACCTTTATACCAGTGGTGGCCAACCCAAGGCCCACGGGCCAGATGTGGCCCACGGGGCCATCAAAATGCGCCCCCTCCCCCGAACATTTGCACTAGTCTAGGTAAATCCATGTTCAATCAAAATTGTGTTTCCAGTTTTTATGCCATAAATCAAGAAATATTGAACCAAGAAAATTTATTTTGTCGGCCGACCAAAAAAGGTTGGCCACCTTGGCTTTTTAACATTTATAATGATAAATGTTTCCATATTTTCATTTGGAAACGGCCAGAGAGTATTAGTTGGATGCTCTAAAGGTTGGCTTTAAGAGCGCAACTTTGAGAAGAAAATAGAATCAAACACACTTCAATTCCTAATTGCTCTTCATAATTTTATTTTGGAGAATTTTATTTGGGAAAGCGTACGGCATTAAACAACTTCATGACCAGGAGCAACGGAAACAGAAAGTCTGAATTGATGCTACATTGCTGAATTCTGGCTCAGCTGTTGCTGTCTCTGTGAAAGGCGGTCCCTTTAAAACTAATGGGTTGTTGAGGCTCTCTGCCTGTCCACTCAATTGAGAGGATGACTTTGCAGAAGTGGCCTTGCAGCTGAGTGACCAGACTAAGGAAACAGGAAATTAGCATGATTACTTACAGAATTACAATTCTTTCTAATGCGCAGCAATGTTATCATATCCAAGTACTTCTTCCTTACAGTGATACTAAAATGAAATGGGAATACGAAAAAAGGCCATTCAGTCTATTTAGTTCACCTGTAGCTTTTAAATTGTCCTTCCTGAATCACGCTAGTCCCTGCTGAGTGCTAGAAAGTTACGTTTTAACTCCTCTGAGGTTAAGCAAAATCCACCTCTCAAAGTATCACAATAATACCTGCATTAAACTTCGTTGCAGTTATCAACCCAGTTATCCGGGTCATCAGAGTGACTCTTGTGATCTTCTAAAAACATTTCCGTTAAGGACCACAGATTACTTGTAGTCTATCACTGATCCCAGTCGGACCAATTTCTAAGTACGTCACCAACCTCATGCTCTTGGTAGACAACTCCAGGACTCTGGTAATTGCATAAAGGTATTTATTGTACACTAGGTAAGCAGATTGTGTTCACAATAAAACAGGTGCACACTGAAGGAAATTGACAATCAGATAAGGTGCTCTCACATGACTCAGCAATCAAAGAACTTTCACTTATTTCTGGAATAGTTTACTGTTACAACCCACAACTGATGTCACTTATATAATGTTCATAGACACAGACTGACACAATATGCACACCTTTACGATTATCCAATGGGAAATACATAGTGTATGGATATGGCTAAGTGTTTGTTTCGAGTGACACACATTTCTATACTTTTATAGTATTTGTATCTACGTCAAATATGTACATACACGTACATGTCCATATGTACATGTGCACAATGTCAACATGTGCAGTATACATGTGAACCTTCTCAACAACAACGTAATCTAATTTAATAAAACTCTTGAGATAATTACTACAAAAATACAACACAGAATATCTCGACCAGGTTATGGTACAGACTTAGATTGAAGTATCGTGAATTCTGAGCTGAATAAACTATCACACACCACAGCATGCATGCCTATCCTATAAAAAATAGTTTTCAGTTTCTCAGAATGAATAAAGCGATAGAAACTGAATAAATATATGCCTGCTACAACCCTCCATCCATGTGGGTTTCAGTGATGAGCAGATCTCTACTTTCTACATTGAAGGGTGTGTTCAGGTGGTATATACTTCAGTCTAAAAGATAGTCTTTTAACAATATCCTTCTGTTCCATTATCCAGGTTGAAGAAAATCTAATCATCTTTCCTTTATTTCACTTGAGAAACTGAAGATCACATCATTCATGGAGTCGTCGTAATGGCTGCTATTCCTGGTGAATCTGGGTTGTTGATTTGTGTCCAATGACTTGGGATAATATGGAACTCCATTCCATTACTGTGTTAACCACTATTAACCACTCAGTCTTTAGAATTATACCCAGATCCTAAACTCATAGAGCTGCAAAAATCATCTTGTTTCAGACATTTTTCTGCTTTGCCACCTTATGCCGCAAGTGGCCATGTCAAAGTTTGCCATCTCTTTGAACGGCACTGTGACCATGATTTGGTTTGTGAATTGCTGTTTGTGACTAGCATCAATAAAGGGCCAACGAAACTCTGCCCATCTGACTGAGTCCAGGAACAGTTTGTGGTCACACGTCTTCTGCTGTGGCATCTATTCCAGCATATGTAAAATTTTCAAACAAAGCTGTGTTCACGTAAGCCTATGGGAGAAATTAGTAGAAAATTTAAAACTCTTAAAAATATACATTTTCTATTTATAATAATTATCCCTGCATTTGTGTTTTTTTATGTTCTGATAATCTATAGGATAGAACACCTTTTGATTATGTCCACATCAAGGATTCCAAGGTCAGGTGTGGTACAACACAGTCAACTATACCGTAGAGTAAAGCTCCCTCACCTCTAGCCAGAGTGGCACTCAGAAGAGATCACCCCAACTGTCTCTGTGGGAATTGCCATTTGCACTTCCGATACCTCAGACTCACTCGTGAAATTGGTCTGACGATGTCCAAATGTATTATAAAAGGGTCACGTTAATCGAAAATTTACTTAATAATTTCCAACTATTTTTCACCCAGTTTCACATCAGATGCATTCCTACCTTTCTTGCTTCGAGCATCCGGTTCAATTGCATTGAAATCTGAGCGAAGGGGGGTCGCTCGTAGGGTCGATCTCTCCAGCACTGTCTCATCAGTTCATAACTAAGGCGATTGCAAAAGAGACATGTCAAGTTTGTGAGAAACAGATTATGGCAGATAAAAGTTTAAATAATAAGTGTTGAATGCAAAATCAGCCCTCTTTTCACATGTACAAGTGTAAATCACTGCACCATAAAATGTAATTAATAAATAATAAAGCTTTTTTGAGGACAAATTCTATTTCATTGAAAGAAGAGAATCCATTTCAATCCATTTCACACATATGCCTATACGTTTGCACATAGGCTCTTGAACAGAAAGAATGAAACACAAGATAAAACCAGAGTCTTTATAAATAGTTGTCAGTTTGCAACATAACTTTTAATATCATACCAACTGTATGCATTGGAATGAAAAGATGGTGAAATAGCAATGAACCGAAAAGTACTGTCGTGGAATGAAAAGCTCATTGATGTAGAAGCGATTGTAAAATAAAAAAAGAGGAAGATAGACATTATAATGATGCTGTTAAAAATACAGAAATTCTGAATATAATTTTGGCCACAGTTCACAGAACAGAAGCAGACATGAACCCGAGGGTGTGAAGGAAGCAACAGATATTTACTTACACTTCATCATCACAGTTAAGGGGTTTCTCCATCCGGTAGGCTTGAGGTAATTTCTCATAGAGTTCTGCACACGTCATTCCACAATATGGAGTTCCACCTGTAGCAGTTGTAGGCAATAACAATTATACTGAGCTGAATACAGTAATGGGGAAGAATCTACCCAATACCTTTTATTAATTGGTGGAGGCAGTACGTACTAATAATGAGCCTTACATTTGATACAGCGCCTCATCACGTCACCGAAATGCCTCAGAGTGATTCACAGAATTCACTGTAAAGTGTAGTTACTGTGTATTTATCAGTGATTCAACAGCCATTTTGCTCACAGCAATGCCCCAGAAACAGCCATGAAGTGAATGATCAATTTATCTGGGGGATTGTTGGCCAGGACACTAGAAGAAACTCCCATGGAGGACAAGACATTTAGTCAAACTAAAAACTCTGTGTCTAAACTGTTAATTTGACTGACAGTGATGTGAGTGAAGGTGGGAAAATCATTTCATAAGCAAACCAACACTTAGGAGGTGCTATAAAAAGATTTTTTTTGTTGTCACTGTATAATTAAAGGATTAATATAAAATGTTATTAAGTTATTTTGATGTGTACAGTGACAACATTCACCAGACTTAGTGGGAAAATAATAGAACAGCCCAAATCACATGTACCTCAATTACAATACAATCAAAATTACATTTGAGAGATAGAGGTACACATAAGAAGTTCTCCAGCACAGCAAAATAATAGAAAATACTCCAGAGAGCAGTGCTGGATCAATATGCGACTTACCCAAGCTGACAATCTCCCACAGCAGTACTCCAAACGACCACCTGAGGAGAAGACACATGTTCTATGTGAACCGTTCACACTAGATTGACTGAACAACCACTCATTCTGGTCCACCATTCTGGTCAAATTCCTGTTCAACATATTGCACATCATTAACCCGTGACTAACATCACCCACAGTGTGAATTATCATTGATAACACCAGCAGGATATGCTGTTGATATAAAATGCACCTCATTATAACATACTGTTTCCAAACGCCACAGTATGATGAGATGTTCTTGTAGCACGTTTGGATTGTGCTATTCCTATTTCTCACCCGTGATACATAGAGCTCAAGATCTTTAGCCTCTACCATTTATTCAGGTGTAGCAGCTTTGAAACTAATGGATGGAGTTTAATTCTGACATTCCCATCCTACAGACTTAGCACACATTGCCCATAACCAGTTCATCACTGCTCCTACAGTTGCAGTCATGTCAGATTGACATTCAGGAAACACTTGTTTTATTTTTGAATCGTTTCGTCTTGCACCACTGGATGTAAAATGTGATGCCTGTGGTTGAACAAGCACAAGCTGCTTCCTGGGAAAAATTATCTTTACTGACACTGTTCCTACTGACTGCATCGGTGAACACTTCTAGTTCCTGTAGGGTCAACGTGATAACAAAATATAGAAACCTTTCAGGAATGAAGTCCGGCTCAACATCATAACTATTTAACCATTGCGGCTTGACTCCCTTATCTTTGATACCCTTTACTCCGCTAAAGCACAACAATACAAGAATATGACCCCAACAGCGAAGGGAAAGGTCACTCAATGGGATGAATGATGGTTATAAATGATCAGTCTGGGTTTCCGTCCAGCTGAATTTTTCTGCAGATATCAGATACAGTGTCGTGTGGTCAGCACTGTGGACAACAATCAACCTCAACAAAGGTAGGCCTGTAAGAGGAACGAGGTACAATTTTAGAACCTGCAATTTTAGGTCCATTGAAAAGGTGCAAATTCTGACCTTCAGGCCTGCGATGGGAATGATTAGATTCTGTCCCCGATACACCCTTCCATTGCGTGAAGCATCAGGTAGCATTAATCACACAGTAGGTTCTCGGGAACCATGCCTCCATTTAGCACTTCGAGTGCAAATTAACTGATGCAATCAGTTTCGCAACCTTATGATATTTAACACGCTAGCTGGAACTTGAGTGTGCTGGAGGCACTTAGTCTTCAGGCCCATCCTTCCTTGATCTGCCTGTTCTAATGGTTTAGGTAGATGTTAAAGTTAATAATAATAATCCTTGCATTTGATATAGCACCCTATCATGTCTTCGAGAAGTCTCAAAGTGCTTCACAGGATATACTGAACAGTGTAGTGACTGTATATTTTGTGGGTGATACGCGCTAGCTAATTGAGCACAAACAGTCCCACAAACAGTTGTGGATTGAGTCACCAAATTATTATTATTGCTATTTATTTTGAAGGAATTATTAAATTGGAAGAACAGGGAGTTTTCCCAGTGACCCAATCATCCAAATGCATTAAAATTCACCAAATTAAGTACATCGCTCTCTTAGTATTGCACTACAAGTATTAGGCTAAACTATGAGTTCAAATCTTGTTGTGGGGCTCAAACTGACAATCTTTTGACTCAGAGCCCAGACCATCATTAAACAACAGTACATTAACAAGTAATATTCCAGATCTACATTGAAAATCTTATCACAAAATGCATTTCTACTCACACATCACTTTTCGTGGTGTAGACACTGTAGTTCAAAGACTCAATCGCCATCCATCGCACAGGCAGCCGGCCCTACACAATAAAGAGGAGAAAGAAACAGCTATGACCTAGATTGACTTCCAAAACTGAAAAATTAGACCCAGTAAGGGTCAGAAATCTGATATTGTTTGGGAGGAGTGCAGTAACAAGACAGCAGTAACTTCATGGATTTGTTTCAGGATTAGGTGCAGCAATGTAACAGATTGTTAGACCGGTGGTGGTAAATAATAATAATCCTTGCATTTACCACGTTGAAATGTCTCGATTCACTTCAATGAGATTCTTCTGTAAAAGGTAGTGATTGTGTATTTGTAGGTAAACGTGACAGACAATTTGCACACAGCAGTGTACCACAAAACCACAAACAGCTAGGAAATGAATGACCATTTATAAAAAGCTGGCCAAGACACTTGGAGAAACTCCTTTCTCTTTCTGATCAGTGCCATGGGATCTTTAACGACCACTTGAACAAGCAGATGAGATCTCAGTTTAATCGTCTCTTCTGAATGATGGTGCCTCCAACAAGGCAGCTCTCTTCCAGTGTCAGCATAGTGTATGAGCTCAAGGTCTTGAATGTGGGGCTTGAACCCAATTGATATTAAGGTTGAAAAAGCAAACTAGCAGCATTATTGATAGCTGGCCTCTAGATAATGTATTTTGCAATGTAAATCATGATTTGTGCAGGACAAAATACCACCCCATTGAGACATACCATGGTCTTTTTTACGTACACCTCCTCTCCTCGAGATAGTCCAAAGTCTGCAATTTTTGCCACAAGATTTTCTCCGACTAACACGTTCCTGGCTGCAAGATCCCTGTGAATGAACTAATAGAAGAGATTCTGAAACCGTATTCATTCAGCAGCACAGGAGACACTGGCAACTTGCACTCACATACAGTCAACACATACCTCACACCACCAACACACGTACAATCATTGTAGCAGCCGAAATACCCTCAGGAAACATTCTTTCAGCCAATACGTACATGTTGTCAACTAGTGCAATCCCTCACATACATAGAAAGACACAATCATACTGACTAAATAGGCACGTTCATACAGCTAACTGCATACTCCCATACACAGAAACATACATGGACTAAGACATGCAGCTAAAGATTTCCTTTATGTCATACATAATAATAATCCTTGCATTTGATACAACACCTTATCACGTCTTTGAGATGACTCAAAGTGCTTCACAGAATATACTGTAAAGTGAATCAATTGTATATTTTGTGGGTGAAACATACAGACTTATTCCAACATGAAGACAGCTTACACATCCCTGGTAATCACGACTGCATTTATCTCCCTACCCTATACCTTAATGATATTATGCAAATACACAGAATAGATGTGATATATCTAACCCAGCCTCGCTCACCTGTGTCTCACTCAGATACTGCATTCCTTTTGCTACATCAGAGGCAAACTGCAGAAGCTGCTGTGAGGTTAGAGTTGATGCAGTCCCATGCTCTTTTGCAAAAGCTGGGTCCGTCTCCAGAACTCTGCTTTTCCGTAAAAAATCTAGTAGGTTCCCAAATGGAGCGTATTCAATGGCGATATAGAGATAGCCTGAACAGTCAGACAACACAAACAGTTAAAAAAATGAGTAAGAAGTCAGCAACTCCACCAAATCATTGGCAGAGGATATATATTTTGCACGACCGGCATATTTGACAATGAGTACCGCAATTTAATGGATTGTTAGACTGGTGGTGGTAAATACTAATAATTCTTGCATTTGACATAGCGCCTCATCACATTGATATGTCAAATTGAAATACGGTTTGCAGGTTTCAGCTTTCACTGCTCTAGTCATTAATTACCTGACTTAATTAACTTAATTAATTAAGAAATGTCAAATTGTGGAGGTTCAAATATGTGACTTAAGGGCTTCCTTTCATGTTTCAGGAGTAATGTATGTTGGTGCGTGTGGATTTTTAGGTGGAGTTGGCATAGTTTCAGTACCTCTGTTCTCACAGGCTCCCAGCAGGTTGATGATGTTAGTATGATGCCCAAGCTTACACAAAACTTCCAGTTCTCCTGCGAAGTCCCTGTGATCATTCTCAGAAGCAAATTCTGTTAAAATATAGTAGATATTATGAAGTTATAACATACTTCGAAGATTCCCTCACTCCTGGCAGAAATAAATGAATGGGGGGAGAAACTCCACCTGCTTCCAGGCTTATACTATTTTCTTTGAATTTCACAGCGTTCAAGAATATTGGCAAATTCTGTATTTCTTAAAAGAACCTATTATAAAATCAGCTTCAAATTTAAGACTGCATTTGGGAATTTGGCAAATTCTGCACGGTTTATAATTCCCCCTCCCCCACCCCCAAGCTTAACTTTTAATTGTTAAATAAATAGACAACTTTTTTGTTTAACTGTGAATAAATAGACCCCTTTTAAACATTTTAATTGTAAATAAGTAAATACCTTTTAGCATTTTAATCGCAGCATTCATCTTCGTTCCATCCTTTTTAATCAAGGCTTTAATGACTTGTCCAAAATTTCCTTCTCCAATAACATCCTCAAATTTGATGTCATCCCACTCCAGGATTGGATAGGTGAGGGGTTCGGGCTGTGGCTTTGGCCTGCGCGTGAGTGTCAGAGTTCCAGAATTAAACTGAAGGACTGTTTCTTCACCCTTGAAACAAACAAATAAAACTAACAATCACCTGTCTTTCTGTTGTCCGGGTGACACAGGTTTGAGGCACATGCAGGAGTAAAGAGACAATTGGCTCAAAAATCCTTCAGTTACTGGTTGTAAACTGCTTCCTTTAGGATGACAAATTGCAACAATTAAGATATTCTGATTTGCTGTAGTCTAAAACGCACTCAGTTCCCCTGTGATATAAACAATAATTTCTCTAGGAATCCCCAGAAAGCTTGTGAGACTTCAGCTCCAATGTAAGCTCACATCCAAACTGGAATCTTGCGAGTCTGTATGTCTTCTAAGAGATCCCTTGGAGCATATCTGACTTCAAATGGAAAGCAAAGTTATTCTAACCTTGTATAGATCATCTGGAATATAGTTTGCAGTTTGGAGCACTCTACCTTCAAAGGGATATTGTAGCATTGGAAAAAGATCGAAAGAAGAGCAATAGGATGGAAACCTGATCCGGATATTTGCAATGATGAGAAGCATAGATGAGGCAGAAGTAAGCAGGCTGTTTGACTTAGACTGCCAGAACAGAATTAGATGTGATTTTAAAGATCTGAATCATGTACCTCTCTCAGTGCTCTTTTCTGTAATCAGAGTACGAAAACACAAGTGATATTTATGAGGAAGTCATAACGTTTTTGGATTTGAAACCCCAAAAATCTGATCGGAATTAATTCTTCTCCAATTGTATTTGTGCGAGTGTCATATGCCTAGCAGCTTTTAAGGGTACAGAGGCGGCAGATCATCAAAAGCTGAAAAGTTCTTTAAAAAACAGTTAAAATTACTATTATTATTAATAATAAAGTGTGCCTTGCGTGCTACTTACAGATCCTGACTGGTAAGTGAACGTCCGACGTCGCTGGAAGAGGTTTTTACGTACGCAGAAGAGACCCAGCAGTGCAAGCAGAATGGTCAAGCAAGTCACTGACACAGAACCCATAATAGCCATCAGCAACTGCTGGTCACCTTGAGGTTGCTGCTGTAAACTCGCAGAATTTTGCGGAGCGCTAGGAGGAGCTGAGGGAAGAGAAGGAAACAGACAGCAGATCAGCAACAGAAAGATTTTAATGATAATATGAAGATCCAGATGTTCTCCTCAACACGTCAATTTACCACCAACACAACCTTGGCTAAACCATAGAGCAAAAGCAAGTAAAGCAACAACAGCCCGTGTTTCACTTTCAGATGAGAAAAGGCTCGAGTACTCCATCCAAAGGCCAAAAACATATTGCCACCGGAACAATAGCTTTTTCAGGCCTTCACCATCAATTCCTGGTTGTTTTTTTTAAATCAAATTCCCAAGCAACGACAAATAGGATTCATACAGCGCATTTCACTTTTTCTTTGCAAATACTGTATTGCATTTGCAACCTCAGGAAGGGCTATATATAATTCAATAGGTAACAACGGGATTTATAATGTGTGCGAGCTGACCAAAACAAACACGTGACCACAATGTATCACAGATGTTGAAGTGGCAAATTGTGCCCGGGAGGCCAGAATGAGGTCTATAAACAGCTTCAAGGTGTCACAGTCAAGTTCAACAAGTCACAGCAGTCGTGCTCCCTGTCAGACTACATTCTTCCATGTTCTTTGAACAGCACAATCTATTACGTATCACATCAGCCTTGTCGCTCCAAGCTGGTCTTTTTTTATCAATGTGATCACACAGCCACATTCACATGCACAAATAGAAATGTGCACAGTCGTGGCTGAGCCTTTACGATCTTTACTAAAAACAAGAATAAGGTACCTGGTGGGGTAGCTGATGTCCGAAGCTCCTTCATGGGATTGGGCCTGCTTTCTCCCTTATTGTTCTTGGCTAAAACCTCCACAAGGTATGGCGTCTCAGCTTGCAGCCCCCCCAGGACACACCTTGAAGTAGGCTTTTCAGCCAAATTAATCTCTCTGACATCAGTGTGCGTTGCAGCCCCATAGATTTTATACTTTATAATAACAGAGGAGATGGCGTGCTCTTCCTGTACTAACCAGGAGATTGCTGCAGACGTGTCCGTAATGTTCCACACCTTAACGTTATAGGGGGCAGGTGGAATTGCTGGAGTTAAAATACGAGAGCGAGAGAGAGAGACAGAGACACATAGAGAATAATTATTCATTGTGCTTAATAAGACAAAAAATACTCCAATCAGAGGCCTAACATTCACCCACAGTTAACCATTTTGCAGGACCATTTTGTCTTGAAATTCAAGATTTCCCAAAACTGCGGAGAAAACTTGGAAGTCGTCTTCTGCAATTCTTAAAAACTAACCAGTTTCCATTTAAAACACCATTTAAGAATATCCCACAATTTGTGAAATCCTACATTTGAAGGCAAAATGGTCCCACAGGCTGAGACTAGGTGAAATTTCAGTTTGTTAAGCGGAACGGTTTTGTAATCCTTACTCTCAAATATGTAGGAATTCGACAAGAGTTAGCAGTTTTTAAAAATACTGTGAATGTGGGCCACTGCTGTGCGCAATTGGCTGTCGCATTTCGCCCACAAAATACACAGTCACTACACTTTACAGTATATTCTGTGAAGCGCTTTGAGTCATCTTGAAGACGTGATAAGTCGCTATATGAAATGCAAGGATTATTAACAAACCGGCCTGGTCAAACCCCCCCCCACCCGCCCCCCCACCCAAAGTTGCTCTGTAGATTAGCCATGAAAAAAAAAGAGACAAAGTAACCCCACTGGAGTTGGGTTAATCGTTTAAACTTAAGCGGTTTCACTGATGCAGGAAATATTTGAATGTTTCACTTACAGTCACTGAACGTCCAGGCGGTGACGAGATCACTCCATTTGCCCGGAACATTGGATTGTGCTCGAACACGGAACTGATATCGTGTACTTGGCTTCAGCTTTTTGAGATTCTTGGTGGTTTCATTTCCATCAACGGTATCGATCCATTTGGGCTTACTGGGTGGCTCCATCTGCTGGTACTCAATGGTGTATTTATTTATTCCACGTGTATTGAGAGGTGGTGTCCAGGTTAATCGCATTGTGGTCTGGGACAGAGTCGCAGCCTGGACGTAACTGGGAGGTGGAGTGCCTGGGCACAGAGCACAGGAAAGTCTGCGTGTAAATTGAACTGACTTTCAAAAGAATATGAAACTAAGAGACTCTTCCAGCCTCACAAACAGAGTGTTATCGGAGATACCACGATGAACAGTTTTAATATTACCTTCCCGTGCAGTGTACTTCATCTAATATTGTGATACAGTGGACCTGCTTATATATAATGCTCTGTGGCTTAGAAAGATCACAGAAAATAGGTCACTCGGCCCAACAAGTCTGTGCCGGTGTTTATACTGCACACGAGTCTCACCCATTCTTCACCCTCTCATACCCTTCTATTTTCCTCTCCCACATCTTTCCTAAATTATTCAACCACGGTTTCAGGCAGCAAGTTCCACAATCTCACCACCCTCTGCGTGAAGAAGTTCCTTTTCTCTTTTAGATGCCCCGAGTCGCTATCTTATATTTGTGCCCCTATAAAGACGTACGGTGAAAAGCGGCATTGAGATCAAGATCTAATCAACTGAACACGTTTGATGACCTAAATGGGTCTAATTCCTATTACCATGGCACTGCAATCATGTAAGACTATCTCATTTGACACAATGTGTGTGTGTGTGTGTGTGTGTGTGTGTTTGGTCATAACTTGTTTCCAGACCATCAAGCCACAAGTTAAACGATGGGCCAAGGTAGTCTGGTGATGATGACTGTTGATTTCATTGGAAGGAGTTTTCCTGTAAACTTGCTAAGCTCAGCAGCTCAGTGAACCTTTGCCATGTATTTTGTGGCACAGTCAATGCTTAATGTCGTGCAACGTGTTATCTTTTTCAAACTTTGGTGTAGACGATCACAGTGTTCGATGAATCGTGAAATTAAGATCAGTGAGATGTTCTCTCCTTTGCCAAATTAGATCAGATTTAACAGAAAACCAAATGGCTGCCATGAGTTTATTATTACCTCCTTCCACTCTCACGGTGACTGAGTTGGATGGTGGCCCGAGGCTGCCACAATGGTACACCATGACATCCACTTTATATTCATTTCCAGCTGCCAGGTTGGTTATTTGCGTGGATCGCACGGACAGAGGCTGCACCCGAAGCTCTTTCTGAACCACATGCCCAGGACCAGTGACTCGCACAAGGAACCCACTTCCCGCCTCGTGATCTTTAGAAATGTTCCAGCTGACGGAGATGGTGTTCCTGCCCTCGGCTAAGACCCGGTCGATTTTTGGCACCGTGGTGGGCTCTGTAAAAGGGAAAGGGCTGGAGTTCGGATGCATCTTGTGAATGGAATGAAGAGCTGCAAGAGTGTGCAAACCTGCAGCACAACCCGATGGGACAGACAGCCTAGGTATCTACACTGGCAAAGTAAGTTTGCCTACAAAATCACCATCATTGCGTGCCACAGTATAACCTGTGAAGCGCTTTGAGACATACTCCTGATGTGAAAAGTACTATAACACATGTAATAATAATAATATCACATGTAAGGATTATTATTATAAACTATGACAAAAGCCGATATTGATCGTAGTATTAGATGGAAACATAACATCAATTGAATAAGAGTCCTGATTGTTATATAGCTGCCGAACCCATTGAGATTCTCGATGGTAGTAGGCCCTCTACCACCATCACAAACTGTACTGCTCTCGCCTCGTTGCTTATGGTGTGTGGAGCTACACATGCTAAGCCAGAACAGAAATGTTCCATTTTACCCAGCAAACACGGTAATCTACAAATATTAGCTTAAGCCAAAAAAGAAAAGGTTCACCAGTGGCAAGTATCAGTAAACCATTTACTTTTAGCCTCAAACGCTGGGAGGTATTATTGTAAGATTCTCCAAACATTCTTTTTAACAATGTCTGATGGTGGCACAAGCCTTTACCTGGACAGTCTGTTTCTAGGGTAGCATTAGGTCCTTGGGGTCCTTCTCCATACACTCCTTGACGTGTGAGCTGCACTCGAACTAGATAGCTTGTCGAAGGCTTCAAATTCATCAGTGTGATCGGTCCATTATGGTCAACTGAAACAATGCAGATAAAGCAGCTCTTACATATTTAAGTGAAGACATTAGTAAATCACACACTGGAAACCAAGCTACAGTGTCAGTTGGGTTCCTTTTTTTTAACCGACACTTACTACGGCATTAGAAAAGCTCAGTCTACTCGAATCACCTATACTTACGACTGCAGTGTAATCTCAACAAAGTGCGCTAGAGTTCCAAAGACTTGTACAGGCAGGTGTACAGATATGCGTCAGCGTTCAGTTAGCACTCACCAGCAACAAAAAGCTTATTGGTACAGTCTGAGTGCCTCACTAATGCCATCGCTACAAACACAAGACTGCAATATTGCCTATTGACAGACATTTGAGATAATGCTCCGTTAGTACCAGTCTGAAACATTGCACAATTTACACATTAAAACAATTCTGTGGCAGGGCTTCTTGTAACATGTGTGCAACAAACTCTAGCTAGCTATACATCCCCAAATATCTTTTAAAGGCACAGTGTGAACTGTACAATTAGTCCACTAGAGGACTCTCTTATCAAGTGTTGCCTCTGTGTTGCTGTAAATCTTCAGAAATACTGGGACTAAATATCTATTATCACAGAATTCCTGGGACCTCTTCTGGTATTCGCAATCAGGAACTCTGTTCCAATGTGATCTGCTTCCGGGGTAGCGTTCTCTCTGATCAATAAAAATTCTTAAGCAATGTTAAGAAATACTGCAAATACCCTAACCCTATCGTGGTAATATCATTGGCAGCATTTGTAAACACTTACATAAACATTCCTACTTTCAATTTATTAATGGAGCAAAATTGCTTAAACTAATAAAGAGTTCCCATATCTGATTTCTTTTGCACTTTTACGTTCCAAGCATTTGTGCACAGTACAATATCCTTTAATAGATATTAACCCATCCTTGACTTACCTACTATTGAAGACCATTGTGCACTACTGTCCTTTGGTTTGTAAAGGAGTTTGACAGATCTCACTGGTCCATCTCCACTGAATTTCTCGCTGTTTGGGCTCACTATTAGCTGCTTACTCTTCTTCTCCAGAAGAATTGGTGGGTTTATTGGGATCGGAGGGGCTATAAAAGCAATGAGCATTGTGTTGGGGATTAGAAGGATCCAGAGGGCGGTATCAAAAAAATAAATGATTACACTATCCAATGGAATTAGAGGTTAATTAAGAGTAGGCTGTCCTTTCTGGGTCAGAGGTCTATGGGCTCATACACCATGTTGGGACTTTGAAATCAAAGGCCGGGCTGACACTTTGCTGCAGCGCTAGAGAAGTGCTGCATGGTCAGAGGTGCCACCCTTCAGATGAGACATTAAACTGAGGTCTTGTCTGCCTATTCAGGTGGACATTAAATTACCAATGGCACTGTTCAATCCTCCAGATAAATTGACTAATTGTTTGTTCAGTTCATGGCTGTCTGAGGGCACCGCAACTGCCTTCAAATACAAAGCCATTCTCTTTTGAGGTGTTTGGATATTATAGGCAACATGTGAAAATATTTGATATTAATAAAATATAAAATAATTTTTAAAAATTTGGTCACTCGATCCACAACTGTTTGTGGGACACTGCTGTGCGCAATTGGCTGCCGCGTTTCGCCCACAAAATACACAGTCAATTTACTTTACAGTATATTCTGGGAAGCTCTTTGAGACATCTCGAAGACATGATGAGGCACATTACCAAATGCAAGAATTATTATTATTATATTATTTTTATTATATTATTATTATATATTAATGGCAACAGAAGGAGTTAAATCAAAGACTGAGTCTCAAACCTTTTACAATGACTTTGAACCTCCTGGAGTCATTTCCAGCGGCTGTTGTCACTACACATTTCCACACGCCGCTGTCCTGGGGAAGGATCTTTGGTAACTTAAATTCCGAGGTAGTTATATTACCTTGCATGATGGATTTTGTTGCCTGAAACGTAAAAAGAAATTATAAAGAAATTACTTAATACTTAAAATAATAATTAAGTGCGAACCCAGTTCGATGAAAGTGTTTCTGTAACCACTATCAACTATCTGTCCTAATTTGTAGCAGGTAAGCTTTGCTGATCACAGTAAATAACCCATACTCTTCTGAATACAAGGAAACATAAAATTATACAATATCTATAGGGAACATTGGAAAATACATAACATTCTCATGAAAACAATAAGTAATATGTAATTACTTTTAGGGAAAGCATGGAACTTCTAATAGTAATATGTTTTTTTAAAATATCAGCCCTTGTTAGAATAACATGAGAGCACAAGAGGTGCGATTAAAGCTCAAACCAAGGTACACATTCAGAAATATATTTATGGTCAGTTTAAGACTTCGTAGATACTTAATATAACACTTAGACTGCACCTACAAAACACATAACTATGGTTGTTTTTTGTTCCACTGCCTATACGTCTCCCTCGTGATCATGTTAGTATCTGTCAACTCTCTCTCTATGTAACTCATATGCTCCTCTCCCTTGCGATGAAACAGCTGTATGTAATGGACATGTACAGCATCCCTCTCTCTCTCTTTGTCTGAGGACGCCACAAATGCTGTAGTATACAGCAGGAATTCCCTTTCAAGGCAAACGTTCCTCAAAAAGAAATGATTTGCGCGAAAACTTTCGCGATTTAATGATTGTGAAAGACTCACTTCTAGGATTTTTCCATTGGGTTTGTGGATCTGAATGTCTCGATCAACTGGCAGTGGTTTCCCGGAGGCAGAACAAAGCATCAGAGGACTTGAATTGAGGTTTAGTTCAACTTCTGTAAACGTGTCCACAATTTTAGGCATGTTATCTGAAAGGAAATGAATCAACTATATTACCAAACAAAATCAAGATACCTGCATTCTATATTATTTTACCACCAGAACAAGTGACGCTACGACTCAAGAAAGAATTGGTGAATAGAACCCGGTAAAGCAAGGATCAAACAGTGACATTTTACTTGTGTTTTGGAGACTTACTACGCTTCACATTTACAATACAATTCACAATGGAACTTACAATTATACCCTTTCACGTGTGGAGGAAATCTCAAAGAGTTTGAGACTGTTGGCCGGCCATCTGAGCTGAGGGTTGAGAGCCGAAGGAGAAAGTTGACCAAAAGGATGGTCAAAGAGGTAATGTATTCAAAGAGTCAATGTCATTGGCAGTGTCAATGTCAAAAGCTACCACACCTACCTTCCACCCCCACCCCTCCTGAATCCAACGCACACCTCGACTGTCCAGTGCTTTGAGACATCCTCCCAATGTAAACGGCATTAATTAAATGCAACTTATTGTTGTGCAACTGTATTATTTTGCTCGGATCCAATATTTTAAAGGAGATAAAGAAGTTAAACATATATTATTTACCTTTCACAACTGTAACTGATTTTTGTACCGATCTACACATGTTACTGATCTATGGTCCTATTGATCACTCGCACACCCGCACGCACCCTCGTTGAATAATATTGCCCGCTACCTGATTTTTCACAGTGCTGGCCATGCCAGCCCGTTGAGCATTTGCATCCGCAGAATCGATCACACGTTCCTCCGTTCTGGCATTGACATTTCAACCTACAGTCTGGTCCATAGGTGTCAGCATTACAGGCTGTGATCACAAACCAGAGCTCGTTAAGAGTGTACATTCCCAGTGAAATCTTACACAATTTCAGAAGTTAATCATCCACTTGGTAACACAAATGAACTACAGTATGATCCTGAGATCTGCTCCGAAACATTTATAGACGTACCATCCTTGCATTTCTTCCCATGCCACCCAGTGGCACACGAGCAGCCGTAAGGATCTGGTAAACAGAATCTGTAACCACTGCAGCTCCCTGAACGTTTACACTCCTCCTGGCATTTGCGACCAAATTTTCCAACCCCACAAACTGCAGAGGAGAAAAATCTGTCAATCAGTTTATCAGTCAGTCGGTTGGTTGTTCGAAACGCTTTGTGAAATCCCTCCGACACGAAAGGTATGAATGTAATTTGCATTGTGATTGGTTATACGTACTATCTTGGACTTAATACTGTGGTGTATAATAGAATGGGGTATAGAGAATTGGCACAGTGTTATATTGTAGTTCACATCATTATACAGTAAATTCAATCTACATTTGTTTGATGAGCATCGGATTACTCACTAATTTCACAGTTTTGTCCAGTAAATCCTGGTCCACAGATACATTCTCCTGTCCCTTCATGACAGATTCCTCCATTCAGACAATCAGGGCAGTCTCTGTCACATGCTGAGCTCCATTTCTTATGTGGACAACCTATCAATATAATAATGCTATTAGCAGAATATCGAACGACTACCCAGTAAATAAAAACACATTAATTATTCCTTAAGGTTTAAGTGCAACTAACATTCTTACAATAGTCATCAGATATTTATTCTGGGGACTTTTTGGAATTACCCTTCACTGAACTGAATGTTCAAGTTTAATCTTGTAGCTGTTTTGGACTTACTTCTGCTGTCTGGCACAATGCATACAGAAGGCAGCAACACCACTTACACACAGCAAAATACCAACAACTTGATTTATAAATCTTATATTTATATACATCTTCTATTTAAATGTCTTACACTTATTGGGGAGGTTTGTGAGCAGACCACAGGTACAGGCCTGTGATGTGTACTTTTGCTCTGTACTGATTTTCTCTGGAGGAAAGGAAAAAGGTCAGAAAAAGTCATAAATCACACCTTTAAAACAAACTGCACACACAAGCTTTCGGATTCAGACTCATTTCTGCTGGTGGAAGACAAACGGTATGGATTCTAGACTCTTTGACATTAGTACAATACCATTTCACAGACACACGTGCAGGCACTAAACTGATTTGTACCTCGGACTATAAGTCTGAAGAATGCTCCTTTCAGAAGATTCCCACTGAGGGTTGATGTGCTGTAAACACAGGTATGGGAAGGTGCTGTATTCTTAATCTCCATGGAAGCAGTGCCATTCTCGATTTCATTCACATGGGTTGTACTGAAATAAGTACCTGCGGAAACAATATAGAACTTGATGGCATGTCAAATAGCTAGAAATAAAACAGGCAAAAACACAAGTGTGTTACAAGCACATGTCCAGAAATGTAGTATTCATTTATTTACATCTTTATTATAATACCGTATTTCCCATTTTAGTATTACAGAACATTTATTCCATTCTAACAACGAATTAATGAAAAGATTGCTATTTTTAGTTAAAAAAGAATAAACCCTAGAGAATCAAATACACAAATGTAGCCTACAAGCTATTGTTCAAAGAATCACACAACAGCAATGTTTTTTGCATGTTGTTTATATTACATGTAAACGGTAGGAAGTCAAAGCAATTCAAGCCTTACATTCTGGAAAGTACTAATACAGAACTGGCTTCCAGATCCACAGAAAACAATGGTGAGAAAAAAATAACAAACTCGGAGCATTTATTTAATAACACTCAGGATACAGAAAGCACACTTACAGAACAGACTAATGATTAAAAAAGAGAGTATTTATAAATCTGAGTCAAAGGCTAAGTGTGTGTGTTTTTTTNGCAGAAACTTCTCCAAATCCTATTCCACTTTAGTTCAGTTCAGAGCCTCACAGTTCAGTTTTAAAGGACTGATTCAGGAGCAGAAAGTTAAATATTTGTAAGCAACTGAAAATAGTTTAGCTCCTAATTTCTAAAATACGCCACTTATTTTCTGGTTGCATTAGGTAACTTTGATTTCAGATTCTATATCCCTAACCTTTGGAACTCCCTTCTTTTGACCCGTCTGTCTCACCCTGGACCCAATAATAATAATAGTAATAAATTGGTCAGTTCAATCCACGACTGTTTGTGGGACACTGCTGTGCGCAATTGGCTGCCGCGTTCGCCCACAAAATATACAGTCAATTCACTTTACTGTATATTCTGTGAAGAGCTTTGAGATGCCTCAAAGACGTGATAAGGCGCTAAATCAAATGCAAAGATTATTATTATTATTATTATTATCTGCCTTCAAGTCCCAGCTTAAAATGCCTCTTGTTAATAACTGTATTCAACTTCATGCAATTACAGAACTGAAGAGATAGACTAATAATAATCCTTGCATTTGATATAGCACCTCATCACGTGTAGAAGACTTTACAATACTATAAAGTGAATTAACTAAAATGTTAGATTATTTATTGAAATATTGGTGTTCCTCAAAATGAAGCCTCAAATACATCCCACTCTGAGCCTGATTTAGAATAGCTGTAATTTTCTTCTGGAAGCTTCTATTTGTAAGTGGAGAGGTTTGAACACAAAGAATCTCAATTTTAAACTCAGTAATAAACATGAACGTACCATTACACTTCCACATAATATCTTCATTCACTGCATTTTGTTTCTGCACCACAAGGAGAGCAGTTTCACCCTTGTTAACGGTCATTGTCAGTTTATTGGGGTAGAATTCAGCTGGAAATGAGATTTGAAATAAATGTAATATAGATACAGGAAACTGGATTTGACACAGCATTAGTGACGTTACCAGACAGAGGTGGTGGGGATCAACATGCATTGATTCTTCGCCTAGGTTGATAATAACACCTCCAAGTTAGACACAATACCTGGAAGTATGTCATCAGGAACGCCACACAGACACGATCTACTTTTGCGCAGGTGTGTGGCAAATTGACATGACACACTTCCGGTTCACTTAAGAGTCAGATTATGAATTGTTGCACAATTAGATTCCAGAAATAGCGAACGAAGCAGCGGACTTACCAAACAGATAGTATTAGTCACGACGGGAAAAGCGTCATTAAAGAGAGACGGTATTAGAGACGAGAGTAGAAGAGCGATTGGGGAAAAAAAAGTAATGAATAAGTTGTAGCAAAAGAATCCTTATTTTTAGCAATCAGTATAAATTCATCTACAGTGATAACAGTGGTGGACTAACAAACAATGTGCAATATTAGTGATCAAAGCAGAGTGGTTATCAACTAAAATGATGGTGATTGCAATTCTAGTGAACATTAGACTACAATAGAATTTACCTTTTAAACATGTCAGAACAGTTAACTAGTCATTACAATCCGTATGTTTTAGATTCTAATACTATTGATAAGAAGAAGGCAATTATCGAGACACCGCAAACGAAGACAACAAACCATTTTTTAAGAATAATAAATCAACTAGGAACAAATGTCAGTGAAATCTCTAGTACAGGAATCAAACTAGCACCTAGCATTATGAGATCCATTATTTCAGAACATGTCATTAAAACACCAGATTACCTGCCTACATATCAACCAGTCAGCGTGCAACTACTTGGAGTCAGCACTTCAGTGAGTTTGTATGCGACAGTATACACCAGATTAACCAACTCTCAATAAATCAATGAACATACAACAGTTTGTGAGTGTCAGTGTGTGGATGTATGTGTATATATATATTATATATATATCACCAAGTTTGTCAGCAAGTAATAGGGTATCAAGGAATATTGTGCTGCATACAGATTTATAAATCCATTGATTAAGATATCGGAATTCAAACGTTACCTGAATCACTGTTAACCATTGTTAAAATGTGAGTTTTCTCCGAATGGCGAGTTCCTTCACAGTAATAGATTCCCACCTGCTCCCAGGACCTGGTGACACCTTGTGCTTTGATCCCATTGTATCTGGTTAGATCTTTTACATAATTGAAATTGTGCGTTTTGACCTGAAATATGGTATTGTCCTTTTGCATTTTAAGTTCAGATTTATCATACTGGCGGTCAGCAGACACACAAGAGAGGGGAACCACAAGTGGGGAGGATGGGTGGAGATCAGTGATCAGGTAGATGTCCAAAATAGCTCCTATATTGAGGAAAAAGAAGAGATTTTAAAAAAGGGGCTTTATAATCATATGCATTACAATTAGTATCCCTTTAACTGAGACACCTTTCTGATGGTGTACACTTCGACGTTGTTGAGTTGTGTTGTGCCGGTCGGTATGCTGCTGATCCTATTTGCAACAGCGAGGTGTCGAAATGCAAATGTAAGGATGAGAGCCATTTACTAGTTTACAACCGAGTCCATTTGTTCAGCTCCTTAAACCGTTCAACGAAGCTTTGTCTTCTAATGTGGTCATTTGCAAATCTGCCACAAGGGGCTCCCAGTGCTTTTTGGTTTAGTTTTGTTGCCTCCAGTAAAACTTTTCGTGTAAATAATGAGAAAAGATAGTTTCAGTGATGTACGTTTAACTTGAAACAAGAGCTTAGAATGGAGCTTCACAATTCTCAGCTTGATGGTACGTGTCCAAATGCAGTATTCGAGTACAGTCTTATCTTAGGCTAGTCACGAAAAAGGCAACATTTTGATTTATTTTTTATTGTTGGATTTCATAGTGGAAAGGTTTTGATTTTTTGGTCAGAGCAGTGACTTTGTCAAGAGGGAACGTTGCTTCATGTGAAAAAAATCCATTGGACTTTTAAAGGTTAAACTCCTAGGATTAATGGCAAGTTTGCATTGAAAATTAGCTAGCATTAGGAAGCAAAAGATGGTCATAAATGCTCTCAGCAAGCAAAAAAAACTGAAACAAGGGCTAGGAAATGATAAATAATAATAATAACTTTCAAAGTAAATAGAGTGAATGGTATCCATTAGCAAAGAAATTGAAGGAAAGGGTTTAGGTGTAACTATTTTCTCAATTACTGAAAGTTTCCAGTCAAAATGAAACTGTTTTTACAAAGCTGATTAGTAGGTCATTGTCGTTCAGATGTAACCCATTATGTAAATAAAAATAAGTTTGGCTCTGTGAGTCCACAGAGCCAAACATATTTTCATTGGAAAAAAAAGATTCAAAAGTCAGCGATTTATAGACAATGCATCTGAAAGTAGGCTCCTTTATTTAGATTGTGAGCAAGGCATTGAACTGCAGGGGCTTCAAATTAAATCATTTCATGTGAGGCTAGAGGTTAGGAGATACATTCTGCCTTCCCCAACCCACAGAGGAACAGACTTCCAGTACACAATGTCACCTTGTGCTGAAGGGAGAGCGGGAGAGAGGTGTGGTGGGGTAAGGAGCTGGTCTGGGTTTGGTCCTGGTTCAATAGTGGGCATATAAGAATGGATTGCAACTGTGCAGTTTTCAAAGATGTCTTTAGGAGTCAGAGAGTGCGTATTCAAACGTTTACTTCAGAAGATTAAACGAGTGTGGCAACATTCATGTAGGATGAATTGTACATTGTATAGAAACAGCAGGTTTGATGGACCACATGGCTTTTTCATCTTCATGCTACACAAATCAATTTTACTGAAATGAAAGACCTTCAAAGGGAATTGCTGTTAGATGTTTTGACTTGTGGACAAATGCAATAGCCAACATCCAATGCAACACAGCAATGTCCTACAAACAACCATGAAATGAATGACAATTTTGTCTGAAAGATTGTTGCCCAGGATAATAGAAGAAATGTAGCCAAGGCAAACGGCACCACTGACACTTCGGTGGAATACAGCTCTGGAGTGTTAGAACCATAGAAATTTACCCACAACCTTCAGATTCAGAGGTGAGAGTGCTACCACTGTGCCAGGCTGATACATGAGAAACATAGAAGGCATAAGGTCCATCATGTCTGTACTAATATTTGATAAATTCAATCGATCCAGTTCCATTTACCAGCCTTTCCCCCAATATCCCTGCAAAAATGAATCCTTTTTAGATATCTATCTTGTTCCCTCTCGAATGCTAATAGAGATGCCCCCTCCATCACTGCACCATTGCCAGTCCAGAGCCTAAAGACCGATGTAAAGATTTGACCCATAACCTTCACACCTAGAGGATAGAAAGATACTAACAATGCAAGGTTCATTTGTAATAGCATTTGTGAATAAAAATGTAGATTCCTTCAGCCAGTGCCTTCCTCCCCGCTGTGGATAAAGTAAATAGGGTTGAATATCTTTAGTGGAGGAAAGCGAAACTCCAGATGATGGAGATAGATTGTGGAGATAAGCCTCTTCCCGAGATCCGAAGCAGATCCATTGCCTAGTAATTTAGGGAGACCTGTATCTAGTCCAGTTTGGTCTTAGCAAGAGCTTGTAGATGGTTCCAAGCAAAATCTTATTAATGATACAGAACAAAACTGACTTGCTAAAATTAAATAAAAGTTGTGCCATTTAATTGTGTGTAAAAAAAACAAATGTGGTACAGGGCACGTTTTTACTGAATTGCACGAAAAAACTATGACAATGGCCAAGTTTCCTTACTCCACACAGAGTCTAATAATAATCCCTCCAAAACAAAGCAATAATAAATTGGTCATTTTCAATCCACGACTGTTTGTGGGACACTGCTGTGCGCAATTGGCTGCCGCGTTTCGCCCACAAATATACGGTCAATTCACTTTACAATCTATTCAGTGAAACGCTTTGAGACGTCGAGAAGAAGTGAGAAGCGCTATATGCAAGGATTATTATTATTATTATTACTATTATTTTGACAGAGTCATCTGTTCCCTGGGCGTTTGGGGAATGGTATTGGGCGCTGTAGAACCTGTTGGAAGTGAAGCTGTTACAAATTGCAAAGGGGAGGCAGATTCTCAAAGTGCCTCTGATTTCTCAGGTCAGATTGAAAACCCTCTGATCGTATTTTTAATGGATGTTCTTTGAATGTCGGCTTTTCAAAGAGGTGTCGACTTCTGCAACAATAACCCTCGAGAAGTACAAGAACTAACTATTAGGAAGCATTTTTTTTTTTGGGGGGGGGCTATTGGTGGTGGTGGGGGTGGAGGGGGATGAGATTAAAGTAGATCTTATCAAACAATATTAAAAGGAGATTTTGTTCCAATTCAAGGGATCGAGAGGGGGAGAGAAACCTTACCTGTCAAATGAAAAGGAAACACAATCCAGTACAACGGGAACAAAATCATTTTTCGTTTACAAAAATCCAGAAGTTTGCAAACAGCTGCCTTCAGAAAATCCCAGAGCCTTGTCGCCAATAGATTCGACTGCAAATTCGCCCTTTGCAAAGAATAATGCTTTCTCTCTCTCTGTGCTTTTCAACAGTTCCGATTTTGCTTTTCTTTTCTTCCAATTTCTCCTTTAATAAAGCCCATCAAATGTCAGCCTGTGCAGGCAGATCGCAGGGGGAACAGAAGCAATATCCATCCTCCCTCCAAATCTTACTGTTGCTGCTGGAGAGAGCAAAGAGGAAGAGGCGTAATTCCTGCTATTGAGTGATTCACTGAATCCAGCGATTACTCACAGGAATGAAGCCCCCACCAAATACTGACGTTACATCTATCACCACTGTCCAGAAACTGTGCTAAAACAACCCCCGTCTCTCCTCTCTCAGGGTCACTCTGCTAAATCATCACCTGCCCCAGAATCATTACACATTACCCCCCCACGCACACACCCACACACACACACACACACCCACACACACAAGGCAACATTGGATGGAAATTGTTAACTTTACAATAGTAGGACTGAGGTCCAGGCACTCCCAAATTCCACATGTAGCAAACTTTAAGAAGGTAGCGCCCAAAGTGCCCCAAAATCCATTGAATACCCCTAGAGATATGAAGATTAAAGTAACCTGTGTTAAAATCCTAATTTTGGGGGGGGGGAGGTGTAAATAAATTGATGTCGTGGCTGTAAAAAAAAACTAAATTGACCCTCATAAACAGACGGGGTTCAAACAATCCTTATACAACTCCATCCACGGAACGCTCTGGTTTTAGATGCTCTTCAGCACGGTGATGGGTTTCCGCATTTGTCCGACACCTGGCTGACCCAGAAATAAACTCTGTACCTTCCGTTTGTTGAAGACTCCTTTAAGGTCATTGCTCTTTTACACTTGAGACATTATGGAATGGAACCAACATGGCAGATTGGGCAACAGGTAGAATGGGGTGTGTGTTCCTTCAAGTGAAACTTTACTTTCGGCTATTACGACCACTTTTCCATCAGCCATTTTTTTCTTTTGACTCCCAAACCGAAGTTGTTTTTGTGTACAATGAGACGCAGCTCCTTAACTGATTTTCCAGTGCAGTTACCATTGCAAGGTTTCTAACCCCACGTTAATACATCAGCATGTTACTGTGGTCCAATGTGTAACAAAATACTTTTGATCCTGTTAATTCTGTGGAAGTTTTTCGAGTACATTATTATGTAATGCTACTGTGCGGGAGATTGACAAGGCTGGTTTGTTAATAATCCTTGCATTTGATACAGCGCCTTATCACCTCTTCGAGACGTCTCAAAGAGCTTCACAGAATATACTGTAAAGAGAATTGACTGCATATTTTATGGACGAGATTTTGTTCTTGCAAAGCAACGTGCAGGTTAAAGAAAATATAGTCTGCTAGCACGACTTCTGACGGCAACCAAGCATGCCCTGATCCAAATCATTTGCTCCGATAATGGAGCACTACCCAAGCATTTCACAGGTGTGTCAGCCTAGACAATGAGCTCATAATCTTCTGACTCAGAGGTCACAGTGCTACCAACTGAACTTCCAGTTCATAGTTGAGTATAAATATATCTAAAACAAGAGGTAAAACAAGTGTCACCTTGGCTCAGCTGGTCAGTGTTATACTGTAGTAGGTAGCTCTTGAGTCTCTGACATTAAAGGTTTCAAGTCCCATATTGGGGTCTTTTAGCTCATAGCGCATGAAGACCTTTCTTTTCGACTATGCCTACTGTCACCTCCCCCCTCCCCCAGCTCGGCGGCATGCTCTGCCACTGTCAAGCTCCCTGGGACGCTACCCTGCATGAGAGGTGCTTTATAAATGCATGTGGTTGTTGTTGTTGTTGTTGATGCTCAAGTGTGTTCTCATCGTTCAGATGAGGCATTAAAACCATCTCACCTATTCAGATGGACGTTGAACGATCAATGACTCGTTTTAATAATAATAATAATAATCCTTGCATTTGATATAGCGCTTTTCACGTCGGGAGGACGTCCCAAAGCGCTTCACAGAACACACTGTAAAGTGAATTGACTGTATATTTGTGGGCGAACGCGGCAGCCAATTGCGCACAGCAATGTCCCACAAACAGTCGTAGATTGAAAATGACCAATTTAATTATTGTTTTTGGAGGGATTATTTTTAGGCGTGTGGAGTAAGGAAACTTGCCCAAGGTTTCGCCCTGACCTGCCTGGAATTGAACTCAGGTCTCTCGCTTGCAAAGCGAGTGCTGAATAGAAAAAAATGTTTATTCCAGTGTCCTGGCTAACAAACCCCCAAATAAAACTGATAATTCACCTTCTGACTGTGTGGGAAATTGCTTTGAGCAAATTGGTTGCCGATTTTGGCTACAGATAGTCACTTCACTTTACAGTAATTTGAGACGTGTAGTGTGATAAGGCGCTGTAACAAAAGGAAGAATTATTGTTGCTTCATGTGCTTTTGAGGCCTTTAGTTTCATATCAACATTACCAGCAGGAAGTCTAAAATTGGTGAAATAGATAATTTCCAAAACTGTGTTCAAAAGCAGTGACTGTCACAGTCTCTAGTGGAAACAATTAACTTTGTCAGATGAGTGTCTCGGTCCACAGGAAGGACTGTGCACAGGACACAGTCATGAAACAATCAACAGCGAGTAATAGTTTTAGCCAGGTTAGTAGTTCAGTGGCAGGAAATCTGAAATTGGCAGAGATCTTTGGGTTGGGTGGAGTTAGCAACACAGGCGGCTGAGACAGGAAATGCTAATGCTGAGTTAACAAAAACATACTCCTTTGAGAACCTAACAATTACTTTTACATTAAATGTACTGTAAATTGCATAACAACTCAACTACTCAAAAGTTTCTTTATATTCATTACATTTTAATTCTATTGGGAGCTATATCTTCATTATTCCTCATCTGTTATATTGCAATTTCAGAATTTCTCTCAGAAGCGCACCTTACAACCAAACAAGACTGCTTTCATTCAGTTTTCAATAAGTTTGTGTAATGAATGCACCTGCACCTCAGTATTGTATGGTCACTTTTGACTTTGGGAGGTGTCAAAACAGATGGAATGCGTTATACGCATAATGACATGGTTTTGATTTACTCTGGAGTTAATCAAAGCTACTCAATAGCTTCTCCTTCAAGCCTTTCATCTGGGCTCTGGCCAAGTCTGCTTTCTCCTATCTCCTCGACACCGCTGTCCTCTGAATTACTTTGCTGCCTACATAGCCGAAACCCTCGTCCTCGTCTGTCGCCTCCAGATTTGACTTTTTATTATAATTATTATTATTATTTTTCCAGTGCCCGGTTGGCCGGCACCCTCAGCTTCACCCTCCACAAACTCCAGACCATATCCTCTTCCACACTAGGCTCCACAAGCCAATCACCCCATCCCTGTCCAGCTCCATTGCCTCCCTATCCCCCAGTGGATCGACTTTAAGATCCTCATCCCCACCTTCAGATTCCTCCGCAGCATTGCACCACCCTAACTCGGTGATCCCGGCCACACTGCCAATGGCAGCATTTTGCCCCTCCCTCTGTAATACTGGCCTGATATCCATCCCCATTTATTGCACCTTCCCTCTCTGTGTTTAGTCCTGCCTGAAGAACCACCACTTTGACTCCACTTCCAGGCACCTTCCCCCACCCTCCTTCCCCCTGAGTTCCTCTCAGCTCAGGCTGACACTCAGTCAAGTGCTTTGAGACAGGTTCCGAGTGTGAAAGTTGCTACAGAAATGCAAGTTGTTGTTGCTGTTTGATGCCCAAGTTGACAGAAAGGAAGTTATCCCTTTGAATTCTAATAATAGCGAGATAGAAACTTGGCCACGTTGTAACTAAAATCCAAATGACAGACAGGAGGAAGGGAAGATATTAATCCTGTACACTTCTCTTGCTCTGTTATATAACTAGTTTGACACCAGCAGAAATCTCCCAGCACGCAGGTCCTGTTTAATACCCAGCGTACAATAGAAGAAACCTCCCTACACATACTGGGAGAGTTATTATCTTTAGAAAAAAAAATTGTTGCTACTAGTGACCACCCCATTGTTGTTGCTGACTTTGGAGCGTGGCATTTCAATGCTAATTTATGGAATTCGAGATTAACTGAAACCTGAGTTAAGACAGTGTCCTTGAAGAGGCCTTGATAACAACGACAGTGACATTGAACTCTTGCCACTGGCTTCTGACACAGCTGACAATCACATCAAACTTGTTAAGAAACATCCCAACTTTCACCCCACAGATTTAACCTACAAAATATACATTCCCGCTACATTTTACGGTAAATCCTACAAAGTGGTCTGAAATGTTTTGCCGACGTGATAAGGCGCTACATTAAATGCAAAGATTATTATTATTTGAATTGATTGCTCATGTTTACATAGAGTTTACCCTCATGGGTTGCCTTATTGTCAAAAGGCAGTGGGTTAACTTGAGAACAAATATCTGCTTCGCCATAGAATTTGGAGGGTTTGGGGTGATGTACAAACTGAGACGAACGATCATTCCCGAGGACTTAAAGATTTCTGTACTGCTGGACTGTGGTGGGTTTGGAAATGCTGTCTGGAGAGTGAAGGAAGTTACATTTAAACAGTAGAGAATGATAAAGGTTCAAGATTTTGCTCAATTATTTTTTCGGTTTCAGTAAATATCTATGCAGAATTTTCTCCTTAGAATTCAGATGTATCTACGCAGAATTTCCCCCCCAGAAGATTCTGCACAGATACATCTGAACTCAAAAGATAAAGAAGGACATAGCTTAAAAGTTCTTTTCTTACTTTCTTCTCTTTAAAGTTGCTGCAAGGCTTTCATCATTATCCTTAGTTGTTGTTTAAATAGAACAGTAACTTCTCAGAGCTATTCATGAGTCTGCCCTTAAGTCTCTGGGATCAGCAAGACACGCTCTTCACGCAGTGGATTGTGCTTGAAATCTCAAAATCATAATTTTATGGGAGTGTTGAAACCA